CTTAGGCTTTCTAGTTTAGTTTGTATAATTGAATCTAGTTTTTGTAGAGAATGTGAAGATAGTCCAATCTGTCCTGTTTGTATCTGCCACCAGCCAGGTGGCATTCATCTGCCCCTTGGTGTGACTGATAACTGTAGGAATGGGACTGGAAAACCTGGAGTCCTTGGCAGGTGTTTTGTGAGGGAGATGGAGGAGCTTGGGCTAGCCTGTGCTGTTTCTAAGGCACTTTTCTGTGAGGTTAAGAATGATGATCAGAGGTGTTGGGCAGGGTGTGGGCAGAGCCTCCTGCAGTTAAATTTAAAACACTTGTGGGGTAGTTTTAAGGGTGCTGTGCTAGTGAATTTTCTTCTATGATGAAGGCTCTATGAGTGATTCTAAAAGACTGATCACTGATGTCCCTCTTTTTTCTCTTAATTTCTAACGTCTAAAGTGTTTTCCTACAGTTTCTAGGATTCTTGTATTTTTCTGCTGCCGTAAAGTCAGTGCATCTTATTCCAGTAGCTGACTTTACCTTTTTTCTGGTCATTCCTGACTCGTAGCTGGATCTTTGCCTGAATCAGTTAGCAGCAGGAGAGATGAGGACATTTTAATTAAACTTATAGAGACCCTTTTATATTTCCCATGTTGGTTCACGTGGGTCACCACAGAGGAACTTGCTGAGCAGTATGTTTAGCCAAGCAGTCATTAATTTTTGCCATTTTCTTTGGAGAAACATTTGAGTCTTTTGCCCAGCACTTTTCTTGTGTTGCTGAGGATCCACCCCAGGGTCTTGTGCTTTTAAGCTCTTATTTAAACATCAGGCTGCATCCCCACCTCTCCTTTGCGCATTTTAAAATTACGTTTTTATTTTCTTTGGAGTTGGTTTTTGAGACTTCTGGCACTTTGCGGTGAAAGATGCTTGTGTGTGATAGAGAATGTGGAAGGCCCTCAGATACTTTGACTAAGAACCTATTGTTGGGTGACTTGTGATTGAGAAAAGCACAGCATTGTCAGATTGCAAATGATATGGAAGGTAAAAAGTCAAGGAACATAGTAGCATTGCTAGAGTTGGAGAGTTGAATAAAAATATTGGACCTTTTTAGTGTCAAAAACACTGAAGCACTACTGATAATGGTAACCCGTGGCCTTTGGCGAGGAAGAGACTAGCCTGGAGTCAATTCCCAGCATACCCTCCCCACTCCCACCCCCACCAAAAAAAGGGGGACTGGAGAGAGAGTTGTATAAACAAAACCCTGGGTTTAATCCTCAGTGTGTGATTGGGGAATTGGCAGGGGGAGGAGCGAACAAACCTTCAAACTGATCTCTATCCCCAGTCTTAAATTTTGCTAAATCCATAAATTGTCCAGGCTGGGCTTGAACTTGCTTTCCAGCCTTGGCCTCCTAAAGTCCTATGACCTGTACCACCTCACTTAGCAACTTTTTATTTTTTATTTTGAGACTGGGTCTCTCCAAGTTCCCTAGGCTGGCCTTGAACTTAACATTCTCTGGCCTTGGCCTCCCAAATGCTGGGATTACAGATATGTACCACTGTACCTGCTTTATATCCCTTCAGTGAATGAATTTCAGCACTAGGGCTATGGAGAGCTGACAGGAATTTTCTAGATTTTTTGAGTTAGTTTTTCATTGTGAAGTGAATCACTTTCATCAACATTTTAATCTAAATCTCTAACAGTAAGAATCCATAGTTGGTCCATGCAAGGGGGGTTTGTATTAGGGAAGCTTCTGCTAGAGGGCCAGTGCTTTCCCACAGCACACAAGGCCCTGCTGAACCCTGCTGAGTTCCTTTACTGTTGTGTTCTGAGGATAGAATACTGACCAGATAGACTGGCAGAAGGTGCTGAGCAGGAAGAAACAAACTTCATGTGTCTCCCCCGTCTCATCTTCCAAGCGAACTAGCTAAAGACTTGCCTGGTTCTGCCCACAGTAGCTGCATCTTTTCTCCTTTTCGTACTCTGTGTAGATGCGGATTTCCGGAACTGCTGTCTGAAAAGGGACTGAACCTTATGTGCTTCCCTCTGTGCACCAGATATCTTAGTTCTAGTTGTTCATGAGACAGACCTGCTAAGCCTTAAGTTTGAGGAGGAAGTTCATCCGTCTGGAGAAGAGTTGGCAATAACCAGGCTATCATGCAGGCTGTTTCTTTAAATCTGCCTATTTCCTGATACCTAGCCTGAAATGATCTCTTCATGGAACCTCATTAACGGGCAATAAAAATAGAGGACCATTCACTTATTGCTCTCATGGACTTTTTCCTATTCCTATTAACTAACCTTTTTCTTCCATTGCTAGAAAACTTTGTCAGTATTCCATCTTCATTGCCAAAACTGTCAAAAATGATAAAAGATCTGCGATTTTACCCAAATTAACTAAAAGACTAAGCTGCTACAATTTCATGGATTCTGTAGGAGGACATGAAAGTCTTGGGTCAGAGACAAAGGACATGATCTGTTACTCATGGCACTTACAGTAGGCAGAGTGCCAACATCTGTGCCAGGTAAATGAGTGCCTGTTTCCCTAGAGTATTACAGAGTGCCCAGAGATGCCTGCATGCACAGTTGTACTCCCTGTTTTAGGGAAGGACAAGATCTTTTGTAATGGGCAGGAAACCTTTCTGATCTTTGCTCTGGAGGCTTACATTATCTTTATTATATTGGACAGTAAATAAACGTTTTGTTTTTGAAGGAGACATTGTTTTTTAAAGTTGTCCTTATTGTGTAAACTTTCAGAAGAAAAGAATTAGTGCACTTCCCTACAAGGTATATGGGATAGACTTGAGTCATTTGTAGGGAAATGGATGCATCTTGAGACTATAATGTTAATTGAGGTCAATCAGATACACAAGTGTGAATATTGCAGTTTCTTTTATTTAACCCAGATAAAAATAAAGAACAAAATAAAAGATAAAAAGAAGTAGGGAGATCTTTTTAAGAGCGAAACGGGGTCAAGAGGTGAGAGGTGGGTTAAGGAGAGAAGGGATAAAAAAAGAAATTGGGATATGTTATATACATGTATCAACTCCATAAAGTAACATTATGTGCTACAAACATGCAAAAAAATAAAAAAAGGAAGGGAAAGGGGTCATAAAGTAACATTATGTGCTGCAAATGTAAAAAAAAAGGGGTGGGGGTCAAGTGATGAGTGGAAGGGGAGGGGAGGGAAGAGATGAAAAAAGGAATTAAGATGTGTTGTATAAATGTACCAACTTCCCACAAGGAATGTAAACATATACTGTACACATGTACTAATAAACTAAAAAAGATGTATAGAAGTGCTAGAAATCTGTGGAGAGGTGCTTCCTTCTTACCTTGTTTTGGCATTTGGATAGTATTTTTGATTACACGTTCTTCCCTCATTAATTAAAAATTCTGTTGATAAAAGAGAGTTTTTTGGGAGGTGGTCCTAGGCATCAGTCCAGGGCCTTGTTGCATGTTAAGCATGTGCCTAACCCAATTAGAATCTTAATAGATTTGTTTCATGTGTAGCATTAAAGCTGGTCTCCCCTCACAATCCTTTATTTTCTTTTTCCTGCTTTGGTTCAGTTTAGAGTTCTCTTCTGTTCTCACCTAGTTTGCCAGTTCTGCCTCTAACTGGTTTCATTTCTTATAGTCTTGTTCTTTCATTCCTCATCATTTGTCAGAGGCATTTTTTAAAAGTACAACTATGGCCTGGTGATATAACTCAGCTATATAGCACCTGCCTGGCAGGCTGGCAAGTACAAGGCTCTACTACGTCTGGTTTCTGGAACGAAAAAAAAAAGTAAATATCATGTATACATTTGCTTCCCCATTATTAGTAGGACAGAATTTCAATTGTTTAGCAGTTGTGTGATTATTTCTTTCTTAAAAATCTGCCATACTCTTATTTTTTTGGGCATCTGCTTTAAACATTTAATTGACTTTATTGATTTTTTTTATTGGTATAATTTTATCTTTTTATCAGTGTGATTTTGATATATATAATGATCACATTCATCATAGGGACACCTTCTTGATTCTCCCCCCCTTCAACTCCTATTCCTTCCTTATTTACAATAACTTTGTTTCCATTTTTTTCTTTTCCCGTCTTCCCTACCCTGTTTCCCTTCCCAGATTGTTTCTCATATGATGACTGTGCTATCTAGATTTTAAATATTGTTGATTAAGTTAAAAATAATTTAAAATTTATCATCTTCCGTCAGTCAGTCATCATCATCTTTATTGTTACCTTGCAGTCCAGGGGATAGAACTCAGGTCTTCACATATGCTGAGCAAGTGTTCTACCACTTAGCCACACACCTAGCCACTCAAAAATACATTTTTTTAAAACAAACTTTGGAGGCCATTACTAGGTAAGCTGTATCAGACAGATGTGTAGGCTGCTTGCTGACAGTTACAACCTTTGCTCTTAGCATTTTTTCCTCTTAGTTCTTTGCGCTATGAGTTCCTTTCTGCCTTTAATAATTTATACATTTATCTGTTTCATGTGTATCTTGTAAACCTATGTCTTTTGAAGGCTTTTAAGTGAATCTGCTCTGGACACCTTCATAGTAATTTCTAATATCTGTGCATGTGACATGGTAGCACTTACTTCACTTTGTTGTAATTACCGATTTTCTTTCAGTAAATGAAGTACAAGCTTCTCAGAGCAAGACTCCTCTCTCTTTCCACATATTCAGGGTTTGTCAGAAGCATACTGCTTACCCAACAGTTGTTTTAGAATCAAATCAATAGGTTTGGTGTTTTTGATGACCTTTTTAGTCTTCCCTGCTTTGAACTTTGAGAAAATTAATTTGCTTAAGTTTGAAGGGAAAGATACATACTTGCTGGCAAGCAGTACAGTCTCATGGTCTAGCCCAGTTGATGGCAAACCTGTTAGAGCTTTCACTTATACAAATGGCCTGCCGCAGCACACATGTCATAGGTTCCCCACCACTGGTCTAGCTTATATTATATATGGTCATCCTTCATACTATTTATTACACCAAATAATATTTTCTGGTTTTCCTCATATTTAAAATACAGACTGTGGATATTCATAAAGAGAAAGTGGCTCGAAGAGAAATTGGTATTTTGACAACAAATAAGAACACATCAAGAACTCACAAAATAATTGCACCTGCAAATATGGAGCGCCCTGTAAGGTATATTCGGAAACCTATTGACTACACAGTTCTGGATGATGTGGGCCATGGTGTCAAGGTAAGTATTTTATATTATATTAACTTTAATTGGCATATTGAGTAAACATTTTGGGTAGGAAATAGGGTCATAGAGATAATTTTCTCAGTTGATAATTCTCTTCAGCTAGTAACTAGCAAAAAAAGTTTTCATGCAATATCTAATATGTATTTTAGTAAGCTTTGCATGGAGTTTTACCTTTGGAGTCAGTTATATAAAAGAAGACATTAAAATTTGAAAAAATTACTCATTAAATATACTGTTTGAATTCTAGACTGTTACAAATTTGTACTATAAATGCCTTATGCACTGAATACTTCACAATTACATGCTTTCTAAAATTGGTTTTAAAAATAAATTGTATTCTTCCTTATTCCTAGTGTGTGTTCATATTTGTATATCTGTGTGTATGTGGATATAATTCCAGCAACTTGTGAAAAAATAAAAATCATATGCATTTTTTCCCCCGGTGTACTCCCTTGCCCCTCTAACAAAAACAGAAAAAGTCACACGTGACTTTAGAAGACAGAGTATTTGTTGCCCATGACTCAGCATGGCACAATGAACTGATATTGAAGGATACTGTAGTCTGTCACTTCTCTGATATTTATGTGTTACTTTGCAGGCATCTAGAAGGACAGAAATTCTTAAGCCATCTTTGCTCAAGCTAAACTATTTTTTTTGAAATGGAATTTCTTTCCTAGAAAATTACTTGATCTTGTTTCTTTTCTTGATTGCAAGTTATAATAATTTTTTTTTTGAAGAGCCAGCTGGAAGTTCAAAGTTTTCCTAGCTGGTTGATCTAATGAGTGCTGTTTTTAGATTTTGACATTCTAAATTTTCTGGGATTCTTGGTTGGAGAAGATGAGCATGAACAATGTTGACCTTTTTTTTTTTTTACTTTTCTGTATACTTTCAGAGTCTCCCCTTCACTTTTGTGCTTGAGAGTTACATGTAAAGTTGCAATACTTCCTAGGTATAGAAGAGGCTACTTCTTATTTCTTGTGTTTTTATCTAGGGTTGTATAAAAGCTTAAATTTAAGTGTAATTTATTTTTGACTAGATTCATCTATCCGGTTTGAATTTTGAAAAGGAAAAACTAACTTCTTTTTGCATTATTTACAGTTTGGGGATTAAATACTCATACACACTTGTTTTACTTTGTCTTGGTTTTTGTTATTAAATGATACATGTATATTTAAAGTCTGCTATTGTTTTAGAGATTCTCCATTACCTCATTCCTCCACTAAGAATTGTGATTAATAGTTTAAAATAGAGTACTTAACAGGCTATTACATGATTACAAATTTTAAAAGGAAGTTTTGTGTGAGAAAATCTGTCATTATATATGTATAGGTAGAAAGTGTAAACACAGTATAATATATGTCAAAACTGTATAATCGATCATTTGCTTTTAATAATAATACACATATATAAGACATGGACTTTTAAATTTTTTGAAAATGGTTTTTATAGTAAGATAATCATAACAAAAATTTATCATTAACTTTTTAAGTGTACCAGCCTGTGACATTAAGTATATTCACATTGCTGAACCATTTTAAAATATATTTTTGGGTAAAGGTAGGAGAATGGGTGGTCTGTGAGAACAGTATGTTTTAGAACCTGAAATGTGGCATATTTGCCCATATTTTTTTTATATAAGGTATATGTTTGATTATTTTATTTTATTTTTGTTTTTGTGGTAATGGGGTTTGAACTCATTATCTTATACTTGTCAGACAGGCACTTAGTCCACTGAGCTAAATCCTGCCACTCCATATTTTTTTTCTGTTCCATGCAAAAATGTATACACACAGACACAGCCACACAGATATTTCCCCCAAAAGTTATTTTACTGTTTTGTTTACCTTGTTTTATGACTTTGGTACAAGTGTCTAAAATTTTTCTACAGGAAAATTAAGGTTTGTGAAATTAAGACATTTAGTCATAGCTAACAAATTCCAGGACTAGTATTGTGAGAAGAAAAGGTTTAAATTTATTTTAAAATTAATGTCCTAAGTTTGGGAAGGCATTCTTTGCTGTATTTTCTTATCCTTTGCCCACTTTGGTATTTAGAAAGTTGCTTTCTTACTGATCTGTTAGAGAAATTTGCCTTGTGTTGGCAAATATAATTTCTTTGTATTACTTGAAATTATTGTTTGACTCGTAGTTTTGAAGTTTTTTTTTTTTCATATGATATGAATTTAAATGTTATATTTAAATACATTAGTATTCTTAATGGCTTCTGTGTGTTATATTTAAGGTTTCATACTCTATCATTCTATCATAATTTCCTTTTGTGATATCTATTTTGGTATCTTTGTAGAAATATCTTGGTACTTACATTTGATATATTTGATTTTTTAAAAATAGTATTTACTTTGTTAATACATTTTATGCCATGAATAAATGATACACATAAAGTTAGTAGAAATTTAAAAAGTGTCCTGGTAGGCAAATTATGATTGTAGAGTTTATTTGCGCAGACAGTGATTCATGAATTGGATACAGTACTTTACCTCTGTGTGAGGCAAGAGAGAAAGTTCAAGGAAGCCAGGCGAAGTCAGGAGTCAGCGTGCTCCTTTTGATTGGTAGCCTCTAGAGGTTGGTTGGTAGTTCTGGTTAACTTACTCTAAATTGGATTTTAGCAGAAATACAGGATTAGTAGAAATCTAGCTATCGCAGTCTAATTTACCTCCCAATAAATTTTTTTTTATAGTGCAGACACTGAAGCTTTATGGTGTTTTACATAAAGATGTTATTTGAAAAGTTTTAATTTTATTCAGCTGGTGAGTGTGCTAATCAGTTATTCCAAAGAAAGAATTGGCCTTATAGACATTTAGTATCTCTGGTATAAAGGTGTTTTGTACCTAGGGATAGAAAAATAGAGAAGAACCAAAACGAATTATTGTTTCTAAGCTTCCAACCCAAATGTTAAAATTAACTCATCCATAACTGTAAATTTTAAGAAAATGAAGTGAGATCTTAAGGAAATGGAAAATAACCCCACTTCCCATATTTTTTAGAATTTATTTTTGTTTTTCTTGATTAGGTAGTTCAGACTGACTGAAGTCAAACCGTGTTGCCCAGGCTAGCCTTAAACTTGTGGCAGTCCTTCTGCCTCAGCCTCTTGCATATTGGGATTACAGGCATGTGACACTGTGCCCATTTTCCATACACATTTAATCTACACTGTTGTAAGTTGCTCACAGTTACAGTATTTTCAGCTGTTAGGTATTGATAGTATTTCCTACAACTCTTCCCAATCTCACCTTATCTACACACGTAAACACACTTAACGCACAGGTTAAAGGTTACATAATTTCATAGTGGCAGAGTTCCACTAGGCTTCATTCCCAATCCAGGTCTCCTTTTATTATTTCATTTGAGACGTATTTATACACAAATACTAATTTTTTGAGGGGGGGAAATTTACTTGTTTACTTGAAACATGTGAGGGAAGATTTGTGAGCATGTTTTGATTTTTTTTAAAGTTATTTTAGGATATATTTATTGTGGTTCATGTGCAATACAAGATATACATGAGTGTATTCATACATTTTGATACATATAGTAAGATATATAATGTCTCATTGTCAGGGATCTGATTCACAAATCCATGTTAAAATGAAGTGGCTGAGCAAGTTTCCAGATTAAAATGAACAAGTATTTTAGTAAACATTAAAGAATGTCATGTTTCTGGTGCAGTTTCTGTAAGATGTATCCATGAGAAAGCAAATCCCACTGTTGAATGATTTCCTTTAATATTGTCTTTATGGTCATTTGAAAAATGGTAGCTGTTTAGTGAGAATGGCAGATGTAGAAAACTTGGGTCATAAAAATTAACACTCTAGAAACTAAAGATTTTCTTTTTCTTTCCTCTTTATATTTTTTTCCTTCATCCTCCCCTCTGGCCCTCCTTCACTCCCTCCCTCTCTTTCTTCTTGCCATCTTTCCTTTCCCTCCTTCCCCTCCTTTCTTTCTGTTGAACATGGTCTCCCTAAGTTGCCCATGCTGGCCATATCATGTTTGGCAGTCTTCTTGCCTCAGCCTCGTAGAGTACTAGAATTACAGGCATGTGCAACTACGCCCTACTGAAAATATTTTTTCTCAGTGGCAAATAAGCATGCAATGATGCTTTAGATAAGGACTATGTACATATTTTCATGTACATGGGCTAGTCATCTTTCATAGAAGCTAGACTTTGGGATCAAAGAACTTTTTCTGTAGTTGCTTTTGTTTTGTTTCTGAGGCAGGAACTCACTAAGTTCAGGAAACCCTCAAACTCGATGTGTAGTTAACTCAGGCTGGCCTTGAATATGCCATACTCCTGTCTCGGCCTCTGAAGTACTGATACAGTCATGTACCATCTCACTTACCCCTCAAAATTCTTTAATTTTGAGTTTTGACTAAACTTTTTCACAAGATAACTTGGAACTGAAGTAACCTATATAATCTCTGCTAGTGATGATCTACTCAGGATTTGGATTCATAAACTAGAAATGAGAGTATTTTCCAGACCCTGTTTAGCTTATACCATAGGTGATGATTTCACTTTTAAATACTGTAATGCTTAGGTCCTTTTGTGAATTTGAAAGCACCCTGTTCCTTCGGATTTTAACATTTGAAGTGTATTGTCTTTTGTATTAGTGTGCTATCATTCAAGTAATGAATAGTTATAGCTGGAACTTACCTAATAAAAATGTCTTAGGGTTTGTGTACTGATGTGTTAAATAACTTTTACATGTATTGTGTAACTATGTTTAAGCAAGATAGGGGTGGGAGTGAGTGTGTGTGTGTGTGTGTGTGTGTATAGAATCATCTGTAACTCAGATTACATTATAGTATAAAATTACTAAGAAATTACTGTACATGCATGAGATTGACATAAGTAGATGGTGGTTTTATTATGCATGTTTCTTTTAAAACTGTGAGACACAGGAATATTTCCTAACGCTTACGGGTATATTTTTCTTTTCAAAATACTTGAAGTGTGACTGAATAAAAGCTTATTAATGAATTGAATAACTGTAAATATAAACCTGTCCTATTCAATACAACTTACCTAGAATTAATTTCCCCCTTCTTCTTCTTCTTGTTCTTCTTCTTCTTCTTTTGCCAACATAAAGTGGCTAAAAGCCAAGGTAAGAGACATTACTTATTTGATCAACTGTATTTCCTCTATATTGAGAGAGGCTGCAGAGGCACTAAAATTTGAAAACCCTTTTTATGTCTGTCTGCTTTTCCCTGTAGGATTTATATAAAATATACTCAGCACTTCAAATCAGCAACATTTAGCTTGGCTGTGTTGATATGTGAAAAATACATTGACGTTTGCATTTATATAGGAACATTAATTTTGCTAACATTTATTGCTTTGCTCATTTTTTGATAGTTGCCTTGCTTTCTTTGACTTAACAATTAGGAGGTTTCCCAGACTTCACATGTCACCTTGTTACTGAATTGTCAAGATAAAGATGACTTTTTCAAATGGGCACTTTACCAAATTAACAGTAAAATCTATAGCTTTTGTATTTATCTCAGAAACTTAATATTCAGGTGCAAAAATGTTTGATCTCAGTGAATATATTTACAATAAAATAAAGTGTAAAATCCAATAATCATACTTGTATTTTGTTATAAATTGATAAGAATGGCACAGTGTAACAGGAAAAATCTGAGGGCAGGTGGCTGTTTCACATTTTAAAATGCAGTTTGTCTTATAAATGTTTATATCCTACTAAAACTGTCTGGGAATCCTTACTTCACATTCTGATATTAAAAAAATAATACATGATGTTGAAACACCAAGAGAACAATTTGATATAAAAATACAAGCTTTTCTTTCCACATTTTAGCATGGAAATAACCAGCCTGCAAGAACTGGCACACTGTCGAGAACAAATCCTCCTACTCAGAAACCACCAAGCCCTCCCATGTCAGGCCGGGGAACATTGGGGTAAGAATTCCTGTAATAAAAGAAATCTCTGTGACTTTAGTAAGTATATGGATCCTGTCCTGAGACCCGTGCTGTGTGATACTACTTTTTTTTTTAATAACAGGGATTGAATTCTCAACCTTGCGCTTGCCAGGCAGGTGCTTGTGCCTTGAGCTATATCCCCAGCCCATGGTATTACCTTTTACAAATACACTTTGGTTTTTATTTTCCTGAGCAGAATCCAAGATGAATCTACTTGTAGTAGTCTCTGTACACATCTGTATAAGAAAAGTTCTTTTTTTATCCTTGTAAATGGGCATCACTTATTTCTTTGTCTTTTTTTTAAACTCTTTTCTCTCTTCTTTGAGGCAAGATCTTGCTATTCAGTTCAGGCTGGCCTTGAACTCACTGTGTGGCCCAGGCTGGCCTTGAATTTGTGATGATTCGATGAATATCTGCCTCTCTGCTCTGAGCATAGGGATGACAGGTTTGCACCATCATGCCTGGCTGTGTGTGTATGTGTGAAATATAAATCTGACTTGAAGTTATTTTAAGTAGAACAATGATTGAGGGTCTTCCACATGTGTAGGGTGACTTTCCCCGTATTTAGCAATGTTTATACTACAGAACTTTGGATGACTTGTCTACTTTGTATAGTTTGGTTAGTATTCTGCAGCTTTTCTCTCTCTTCTGTTAAGTAGCACATACTTGTAACTATGCATCGGTTGGTAATGTTAGGCTCTCTTTGTACTAGAATAGCTTTATGAGAAGGCCAATTGGAGAAATAGGAAAGGTACTGGTGGCTTCCTCCTTCCTTGTTCTCATAATTTTAAATGTATTGAATGCTTGCCAAGACTTTTCTGAATAATTACTCATTTAACATAAAAACTAGAGATTTTTTGTTTTGGGGAAAGTTGATTTCAGCAATCAATTTTTTCAGAGGATTTTAGTTTTCATTTTATCTTTATAAACTCCTACCTCTGAAAAGAAGATACGTTATTATACAGGAAAGTAAAAATCACATGTTGAGAAATTAGTGACGTTACTTCTAGAATCAGAATATATTTCTCTGTATATTTCCATATTGAAGTAGAAATAAGTTGCAAAGAAGATATTTAGCTTCCCATGTAAAGGACAGTGACTTATGGGTGAATGAACTGGGAATAAAGTATATTTCAAAGTTCTATATTATTGAACATCAAAAAATTATAATTATCATTTTTAGAAGGTTAGAATTTTTCAATTATCCTCTCTTATATTTTTCCTAAGAAGAGGTAGCACATTTTAGTTTTTATGTAACAAACTTCATTTATTTCAATTAAAAATCTTTTAAAAAATTATAAATCATAGTAAAATAAAAGTTTAGTAATCGCAAAAGGACCACACATTTGTGTGTGTGGGGAGAAATACTATGTTATCTTTCTTATTCATTACCCTTTTCTCTGTTGTTCTTTTTCAGGCGAAATACTCCTTATAAAACCCTGGAGCCTGTTAAACCCCCAACAGTTCCTAATGATTATATGACCAGTCCTGCAAGACTTGGAAGTCAGCATAGTCCAGGCAGGACAGCTTCTTTAAATCAGAGACCAAGAACACACAGGTAAAACTTGAGGGTGAACATCTGAATATTTGAGAATGTTAGCGAATGATGCCAAACTCCTGCAAAAGGTGCTGCATAAAGATAAAATACTAGTCTAATGCCACTATTGAATGTAAATTTTGAGAGTAATAATGTTTTATCTACCTATAAATTTATTATACTTTCTGTTATTTACGTTTTATGCTTTTTACACTTCATAGATTAAGATTTTTTCCTTTTGATACAGCGATGGGGGATATGTATTTGGATTCATGCTAAAGAGTATTTTTAAAATGGTCTTTCAAAAAGGCACAAGGTGGGGTTGCAAGATGTAGATTATCTGGTTAGTAGGTTATCTGTTTAGCATGCACAAGTCTCTGGGTTCAGCACCTCCCTTCAATAAAGCCAAGACAACCACTGTTAAATATTTTTAGACAAAAGCTTAAACATCATAGAAGTCATACAGCATGATTTAAACTTAAGAGGTTGAAAAAAAGATTTTTAGCTCCTTTTTGTTTTCCTTTTTTTCTTCTTGTTTTTACTATTCAACCTAGTTTCCTTTGGTTGCCCTGTATTTGCATAGCTTCAGTTTAACTTATTTCTGAAGAAGAATTTCTTTTCTTCTCTTTTTTCTTTTTTTGTACTGGGAATTGGCCTCAGGACCTCACATTTGCCAGGCAAGTCCTATGCCACTGAGCTATATCCCTGGTCCCCAAAGAATTTCTTTAGAGAGTTAATATTTTAGAGTATGCTATTATTATATATAGTTTTATAAACATACAAGAACTCAGCTGTTCACTGTGTTTTTAGAAACTCAGTTATAGACTAGAACACATATTAGAGTATAACACATATTAGAGTTTGGCAAATTAGGGTTAAGTTGCCAAAATTATTTTTGATGATTCAGCTAAATAGGGCATATCAAGCTGTTTGATTCTAGGTAATTGCTATTGGTTATATGTATCAGGTCAAGATCAGGGTCAATCAAAATTATTCACATTTTATATTTATTAGTTGTAAATTACCAAAAGATCAAAATAGGTTTTCCCCTCTTATAGAAGTAGTTTAATCATTAATAATATTAGTTTAGTAATAGTTTAGTCATATAACAACCAGTTATTAAGTTACTTCATTAGATACCAGGCATATACTAAGAAAGGATAGTTTTTTTTTCCTAACACCCAGAGCTCATTCTGTTAGAACAGGGGTCAACAAACTTTTTCTAGATATTTCCAGATTGTCAGTATTTTAGGATTTGCAGGCCATGTGGTATGTTGCAATTATTCAGTTTTGTCATTGTAGTGCAAAAACAGCTGTAGACAATATGTAAATGAATAAGCCTGGCTATATTCCAATGAAGTTTTATTTAAGGCAGTGAAATTTGTATTTCATAAAATTTTAATGTGTTGCAAAACATTACCCCTCTTTTGATTTCCCCCTCCCCAGCTATTTGACCATGTAAAACATGTTCTTAATTTGTAAGCAGTTATCAGGCAGTGGGCCAGTGTTAGCCCATGAGCCGTAACTTTGCAGCTCTTTTATTAGAAAAAAGGCATTTAAGCCAATAATTGTAGAAGAGCACAACAGATGCAAAAATACTCATATATCTATGGTAGTACAAAGATAAGTATTGATTGCCTGGCTGGGGATCAGAGAAGATTTAACGTTTAGGCTATTTTGTTACATCAGTGGCTTTTCCCCTTTCATTAAAATGTCATAATCTATAGATTGATTGTATTGGAGGAGGAAATAAAAAACTTTATCCAGAGCTTATGCAGAGGTCTTCTAAATGTATTTTATTAGTGACGTTAATTTTATAAAATGTTGGTTTCAGTGTGATATTTTCATATATCCATGTAATAGTTTTTGGTTATATACCCTCCATTGTATTTCATTCCCCTTGATCCGATCCCCTTGTCTAAATAATATAATAGTTTTCATTATTCTTTCATGTAATTCTCCACAAAGATTCTATATGTTGGGGAAACACATGATACTTTGAGTATGACTTCAATCACTTACTGTGATGAATTGTACCATCCATTTTCTTGTCAGTGATGTAATTTTGGTATTCTTTATGGCTAAATAATACTCCATTGTGCATAAGTACTACATTTTCTTTATCTATTCATCCATCAATTCATACCTAGGCTGGGTCTGTATTTTGGCTGTTGTTAATTATATTACAGTAAACATAGATATAGGTATATTTACAGTAGGTTGACTTTGATCCCTTTGGGCATATACCGAGAGTGGTAATAGCTAGATCAAACAGTACCTCTGTTTTCAGTGTTTTGAGGAAACACTGTACTGATTTCCACAGGGGCTGTCCTGTTACTTTCCCTTTTTCACTTGCTTATTCACCAACATTCACTGCTTTCTGAATTGTCAATGACAGCCATTCTAACTGTGGTGAAATGGAAACTCAGTGTAGTTTTGAGCTGCATTTTTCTGATGGCTAAAGATGTTGAATATATTTTCAAATACGTATCAGCTATTTTTACTTCTGTGAAGTGCTTGTTCAGTTCATTTGCTAATTGTATTTAGTGGGAAGGGTTTTTTTTTTTTTTTTTTTTGTATTGGGGATCGAACTCACAACCATGTACTTGCAAGGCAGGTGCTTATGCTGCTAAGCTAAATCCCTGGCCCCAGAAGTTTGGTTTTTGGTGTTAAGATTTTTCAGTTCTTTATTTATTCCAGATACAAATCTTATGTCTGAAGAGTAGCCGGGAAGTTTTCTCCAATTTTTGTGGGCCCTCTCTTCATTCTTTCTTTGGGGGTGGGGTAGGTGACTGGGAACTGAACTCAGAACCTCACACTTGCCAGGCAGGTGCTGTGGCGCTGAACTGTGTCCCCAGCCCCTCTTTCATTCTTGTTGATTATTTCTTTGCTGTACAGAAGCCATTTGTACGTAGTGCCATTTGTTTTTGTTTTTTGGTACTTGGGATTGAATTCACAACCTTGCGCTTACCAGGCAGGTGCTTGTGCCGCCGAGCTAAACCCCTGGCCTCATTTGTTAATTCTTGCTAGTATTTCCTGTGCTGTTCGAGTCCTATTCAGGAAATCTTTGTCTGTGCCTGTAACTTCAAGTGTTTCTCCTGTTTCCTTTTTGTAGGTGCAGTTTCAGATTTTTTGTAATCTTTGATCCATTGATCCATTTTGAATGCATTAGTTTTTAACTTTATGAAGAAATAAAATTTTGTAACAAAATAAGAATAGTTAACACACCATATTACTACCTTCAAATACTCAAAGCACAAGACAAAAAAGAGTCTTCATTATAAAGAAGAAACAAACAAACAAATAATACCACAAAACTTTTGTTTTGAATGAACTAAGAGAAACTAGGAGTAAAAATGAAACCAATTAAGAGTGGAATCGCTAATTTGGGGAATTATTTGAACTCATTTCTTTCCATTTATCTATGTTCTTTTTTCCTCTTGTATATCTATTTTGAGTTTTTCATATAAGAGAAACTGTGATATTTGACTACTTAATATTATGTTGTCAAGTTGCATCCACTTATGTATGAATGCCTCAAGATTATCTTTATGGCAGAGTGTTACTCCATTGTGTATAAATACTACATTGTTTTTATCCATTCATCTGCTGATATATATATATATGATTTCCAAAGTCTGGCTGTGGGCCCTTTTAAACATGAGTACACATGTATTCTTGTAAAACAATGATCTTACCACTTTTGGAAAAATACCGAGGAAGGGGATAACTGGGTCAAATGTAATTTCTATTTTTAGTTTTTTGCATAATCTCAATACTAACTTCCACAGCAGTTATACTAGATTATTAGGTCACATTCCTACAAATAATGGAGACGAGTTCTTTTGCCCTGTAGCCTTACCAGCATTTGTTATTAGTAATTTTTTTTATTATAGCCATTCTTTCTGGTATAAGATTATGCATCAGTATATATTAGTTTTAATTTGTATTTCTTTAATGGCCAGCCATGTTTTCAAATTAGACTCCCCAAAACAAAAGACAGTTAAAAAATTGGGTAGCTCAAATGAATAAACAGTTCTCAGAAGAAGTACAAAAGGCCACTAAAATACCTGAAAAAAATGTTGAACTGATTCTTGTGTGTGGTGAGAAATAGGGATCTAGTTTTATTTTATGTATATTTGGTTTTCCCAGCACTAGTTGTTAAAGCTTACTTTCTTTTTAAAACATGTTTTTGTCTCTTTGTCAAGAATTATATGACTCTAGTTAGGAGTTTGTTTCTGTGTCCTTTATTCCATTGGTCCACATGTCTTTTTGGACCAATACCATGCTGTTCTTGTTACTGTGGCTTTGTAGTATGTTTGAAATCAGGTATTGTGATACCTGCAGCATTGTTCTTTTTGCTTAGAATTGCTTTGGCTTTTCTAAGTCTTTTCTGTTCCCATATGAATTTCAGGATTATTTTTTTCTAGTTCTATGAAAAATGTCATTAGAGTTTTGATGCAAATTGCATTGACTATAGTTGCTTTTGGTAATATGGCCATTTTAACAATATTAATTATGATAGTTCTTGAACCTGGGAAGTGTTTCTGTATTCTAGTGACATCTTTAGTTTCTTTCTTCAGTGTTTTGTAATTTGCAGTAAAGAGATCTTTCACTTTCTTTGTTAGGTTGATTGCTAGTTTTATTTATTTATTTTATTTATTGCTATTTTATTTATTTTTTTCAGGCTGTTGTTAATGAAACTGTTTTCCTAATTTTTCTCAGCTAATTCATCATCAGGGTATAGAAAAGCATCTATCTGTCTGTCCATTTGTCTGTCTGTCTGTCTTTGAGACTGGCCTCACTGTGTAATTCAGACTGGCCTGGAACTCACTGCAGTCCCTATGCCTCAGCCTCCCACATACAGGGATTACAGGCATGCCCCACTACACTGGGTTCTGATGTTTTAAATGTTGATTTTGTATCTTGATGCTTTGCTGAGTTTATTAGATCTAAAAGTTCTTTGGTGGAATCATTAGGATCTTCTAAGTATGGGATAGTTTATTTCCTTTATTGTTTATATCCCTTTTATTTCTTTTTTCTTGCCTCATTGCTTTGGCTAAAATTTTGAGAACCATATTAAATAGGATTGGTAAGGGTAGTCATCCCTATCTTGTTCTTAATTTTAGAGGAAATGCTTTTAGTTTTTCCTTATTCAGTACTATGCTGGCTATGAATTTATCATATATAGCCTTTCGTATGTTGAAGCATCATTTTTACTTCTAGCTTTTTATTATATAGAAATAAATTTTTTAGTTTAGTTGACAAGGAGGTATGATCTTTTTATACTAGTTTCTTCAGGGCTTTTATTATTAAGGAATTGTTGAGTTTTATCAAAGACTTTTCTGAATCTGTTGAGATGAATGGATGATTTTTATTCCCATTATCTATATAATGCACTGCAAATCTTTGCTCTGTTGGGTTTGTAGACTTATTGAGCAAATGATTTGATTTTAAACTAAGAGTTCGGTATGATGACCTCTGCTTGTAGTATCAGCTACTTGAGAGGCTGAGGCTGAAGAGTTGCTTGAGGCCATCCTAGGCAATAGCATAGCGAAACTGTCTCAAAAATAATAGTAATACAGAGCCTATTACTGCATGTATATATGTATGGTTTCACAGTTTCCATTGGTGTTCATCAGTCACGAAAAACAATTGGATAATGTAAGATCTTAAAGTTTACTAAAAACTACTAGTAAGTGCAAAGCCCCCCCCCCCCTGTTGTTGTTTTGGATACCACCGCTGAGCTATATCCTTGGCCCAAAATCTCATTGTTAAAAGGACAGTGCATCCATAAGAACTAGAATAGCAACTATTCCAAAACCTGTAATGAAGCTTCATTACTGTTTTTATCAGAGAATTTACCTGTTACTTTCCTTTGAGATGATTGTAGTTTTTTATGTTAATTTCAGACGAGGATTGGTTACCCTTATTTGCTTCCCTAGGATATTGAATATTCTCTTTTATATTCTCTTTTATTTATTGAATATTCTCTTTTATTCTCAATAGTTCGTCGTGCTATTTTTAATGCTTAGGTAAGCATTTCATGACAATGTGGTTAATGTCTATGTTGTTCACTGTTCTTCATAGCATTTATAGTTGTGATTAAATGCTCTCAACTCACTATACTGTAAATTTTACTGTTCATACATTTCTTGGATGGTTTTGAGTACTGTGATACTGTATTGGTTTCAGATGTTAAGTTACGTGAAACACAAGAGGCACTTCAGGTATGAGTGTTAAGGCTTATAATAAGTAATTTAAAATTTTCTGTACACACACATACACCCTGTAGAAGGAGTAGTTAGTAGCCTTGAGTTGATACTTGCAATGTTAGGGATTTTTCTAAATTTTGTGTTTTCACACGTTTTCCTTGTATGTGCAGTGGGAGTAGTGGAGGAAGTGGAAGTCGAGAGAACAGTGGGAGCAGCAGCATCGGCATTCCCATTGCTGTGCCCACGCCTTCCCCACCCACTATTGCACCAGGTATGTTATTTACTACTCTGCGTTAATATAGGGTAGTGTTAGGAACTTTATTAGGAAAGTGGCATAATTCAGTCTATTAGATAAAAGTATTAAATTTGTGGTTTTGGTAAAAGGTTTTAACAAATTTAACAGTATTTTTAGATTCATTTTCACAGTGTGTTTTAGACTTCTTACATATAGTAAATGTTTAATAGCTTTGTGAGATAGTTTTCTGGCCATTTTGCTTTAGAAATACTTGTCTTTGTCAGGAGTCAAGAATGATACTTCATTATTTCAAGAATAGGTCAGTGTTGTTTACAGTGTTATTACAGCCAAAGCCTGAGTTTGTGTAAAGACAAATTATGTTTGAAAGAATTTTGATGTTGCCTTGTAGGCTAGCATTTCAGTAATAGTATGTGCTTGTTTTGTGACTTTACACTTAAAGAGATTTAGTACTTCAGTGAAATGCACTGAATATAAAATGAGATTCAAATAGGAAAAGTTATTTTTTTTACAGAAAAGTTTTTTATAGTGTATACAAGTTAAGATATCTATAGAGAATATTAAATTAGCCCCTGATTTTTAGTAAATGGAATGCCAATTTTCTATAGTGTTAAGATACATAGATTAAAAATAAAGTATGATAATGAAAAGTGTTGGGAAAATTTTAGTTTCTCAAGCATATTGTTGTAGGAAACAAAGCTACTGATAAAAATAGGCATTATAATCTCAATGGCCTTTTTACCTAGCAAAATTCTTACTCATTGGAATGTGCTTTACATGTGGTGTCTTTCTCTTACTTTCTTCTTTCCAACACATTGTATTTTCATGCTGTTTCAGAATACATAGTTCTCTTTTCTTGTACTCTGACCTGAATTATAAACTATTTTATTAGAAAACATTTCTGTCCCTCCTCCTGGAGCTCCACCAGCAACACCTCTGCCACCATTCCTCCCAGTAAGCACCATGATAGGTGAGATCGCATGCCCATTGGAGCCCTTGAGTTTATAAGACTCCTGTGTAGCTAATATATGGCTGGCTGGCTTTTATAGTTATTAGGTTTTAGATGATAATACAGAGGTTAAAGTATTAATTTATACTGATTTCTTCTGATGAAGTCCTCTGAACTTACATGGTAAACAATTATAAAATAACCTTTTCTGTAATATGAAATATTTCTTTGTGTGGTTTATAACCAACTCAGTGTGGTTTTTGCTGTTCTTCATTTAGATTTTTCTAGCAGTACCTATTCAGTTTTTTGTTTTTGCTTTTGTTAATTAAAAAAGCAATGTAATCCCTTCTTACCCACAGTGACACTTGGTTTGGAACTCTCTGGTATATACAGCACTTGAAACACTGGGCGTTGAAAGTAGGGAAAGGAGGAGAAAAGAAAATAATGTGTGATGTGGGGGACTCTGATCCTTTCTTGCAGATTACATTCTGAAAAAATGATACAGCCCAGTTTGTAATGATACTTAAAAATGCCAGGAAACATAAATTCTTTCAAAGTTGGGGAGGATGCAATTAAACATAGAAGTAGTTCCTCATACAGAGTTATGAAAACCATTCAGCTTAGAAATAAACTGTAACAGTAATATGAGTAGAAGTGTATAATAAGGTAGTTTGAAAAAGGAGAGCTGAGTTTCACTTTAGGTGAAATAAAGCTGTCCAGCATAGCTCATCAAAGCATTTATACATATATGCAAAGAAAAAAAGAGTAAAGGAGATAATAAAGATTACAGAAGTTGTTGATAGGAAGTTTATATGAAAATACAATGCCTTCCACGTAATAATCAGGAAAATTAAAATTAAACCACAATGAAATAATGTTTTCTGTTCACTTGATAGGTGAAAACGTAGAAGTCCACACATAGAATTTTGTTAAGGACATATGGCAGCAGCGAAGTACACAGCTTCTTTTAAATGATAAATTCATTTGCAAAGTAATATGTTGTTACCCAGTCAAGTTGAACATGTACCTGTCCTAGGCTTACTGATTTCATTTTTAGATACTCACCTTAGAATGCTAGTTTGCATAGTATGGTTAAGGGATTCCTAAAGGTTGCCAAGATCCATTCATAGAGTTTGGAGATCAGGACTATATTCATTATTTGTGTGTCTTATTCTCATTGTTAGAAATGTTTAATAAAATTTTCCAGAGCCTACAAGACATTGGTTTGATAGCTAATGGAATATGTACTTGTGTATTCATGTGTTTCACAGATATGTCAGTTTTAATTTCTAATGTAATTATCTGAGACTTTTATCCATACAAGCAAAAGCTATTTGAGGTTGTTTTGGGAAGGGAAGCTTTGTTTTGTTTGAGACAAGGTCCTCATACTTAGTTCAGACTGGCCTTCAATTTATTAAGTAGCTCACGCTGGCCTCAAACTCAACAATCCTCCTGCCTCATCTTTCAGAGTGCTGGAATAATGGGCATGTTCCACCATCTCTGGTTCTGAAGGTAGTTTAATTGGTAAGCATGGATTCTAAAACCAAAAAGTTTGGAAAACTACTGTTTTAGAGCACTGGCTTTTGGATTGACATTCTCAGATTATTAGCATCCAGGAACTGGATGGAAATGTAAACTTTCAGATCCCATTTTATTCCAGACCCACTAGTTGGAAAGTCTCAAGATAGTGCCCGGGGATCTGTGTTGTAAGAAATCTTAATGGTAAAAGTCTGATCAGTGCTTCAGCTTGAGAACAGTTATTGTAGGGACATTCAGGAACCATCTTTTGGAATGTTCTTAGTAGTAGTAGTGGCAGCAGTAATGGCACAATTCTGGAGGCAAGCCAAACATCAAATAACAGTAGAATAAATAAATTGTGGTATACTCACATACAAACACAGCAGCAGAAAGGAGTGATGTACTTATCCACATAGTTGAATCTTAAAATATCAAGGGAAGAGCAGTTCAGTGATACAGATTCATTTTAGTATAAAAACTTATAAATTTGAAAAACTGTATATTTCTCAAGATTATAGTATTAGGTATGTGTGGTAAAAAACTATGTAGAAAAGAATGTTTAACACATACCTTGTGGGATTGGAAATCCTAAAGAGGGCACACAGGAAGTTTCAGGTAATACTGTTAATACTCTTATTTCTTTGAAATAATTTATCTATCTGTCTCTCTCTCTCTCTCTCTCTCTATATATATATATACACACACACACATATACATATATGTATGAAAATTAGTATACATATATGATTATATTTCAGTCTTAAACCCTTTGTCATTACGATTTTTTCATGATCAAATATCAATAAATTCTAAAATAGGCATAGTTTATAATTGCTGCACAATTTATTTTCAGTTTGGAATCATCAAGAAAAATCACTTTGATGTTACACACTTTTTATACAAGTCAGCTAAATATAAAAGTTATTTTACAGATATTTCTATAAGAAATGGCTAAAGATTTACTTATTAGCTCTTTGGAAAACGTATCTGTCCACAATTCTTATTCATGAAGACTTTTAAATGGATTTATATTTAAATGTTTTTCTATTTAGATTAGTATATATGTAGATGATTTGAATAATTGATGACTGCCTATGGCTTGTGAGTTCCAAAATGTTAACTATCTGCTTATTCTTTTTTAATGAACAACTTCTGCTGGTGGTTTTAATGCCATGGATGATGTGTGAAACAACTGAGTGAATATAAACTGAAGTGTCTCTTACTTCATGTGTTTGAGTGAGGGCAAGATAAGGTTAATCTTGATGTTAACTTTAGAGGCTTTTAGTTCTATTAAGCTTTTAAATATTAAACTTTTAAAATGTTGAAAAAAATCCTATCCTTTCATCAGTTGAGGTATAAAGTTATTTATATTAGTGAGTCTTTGTTTTAAAGCACATTGCATTGAGTATATAAAGTTTTCTAAGGAGATAGAATCTAAGAACAGCTGTATAGAAATGACTTATGTATATAATCAAAGTGTTTGTCCACTTTTGTCAAAAAGAAGGAAAAAACACAAATCTTACACAATATATAACATGTATTTTGAAACTAGAATGTGTGTTTTGCTTTAAAATTATTTTACTGTAATATGTATTATTTCTCAATGCAATAACAATTACAATAGTCCTATTAAATATGGAAAATACACTTAACAGTTTTTCCCTTAACCTAAACTTAGCCAGATTTACGCAGTATTGTGAATTAAAGCTGAATTGGCAGTGGGAAGTTTTTAAACCAAATATGAATATATTTACATGTAAAAACAAGTTTTCAACCTTACACAGTGGTGTTTTCAAACAGTTTATCTGTAAAGCCTATATGCAGTTATCTTTCATTACCATGGAATCAATCCAGAACCCCAAAGGTACTAAATGCATAGTTACTGTACACAGTTCCTTATATAAAAAGGCGTTTTTGGATATAATCTATATAGGTACTTCCCTACTACAGTTTAAACCACTGTAGGTTACTCATCAAACCTAATACAATGTAAATGCTATGAATAGTTGTTACACTGTATTGTTGAACTTTTTTTGTTTGTTTGTTTTGTTATGTTTTTTGGTAATCGGGATGTGCTTGCCAGGTAAGCACTTACACCACTGAGCTAAATCCCTGGCCCTTGTTATACTGTATTGCTGAGGGAATGAATAAAGAGCATAAAAAATAAATGTTTAGTGTGGATACAGGTTTTTTTTCTTCAATATTTTATTAGGTTGGTTGGATCCATATATGTGGAATCTGTGGCAGCAGAGAGCCAACTGCATTATGAAATGCATAAAAGTTATATGTAGCATTAGCAAAACTATTCTGTGTTATGCTTTTTTGAAGGGTTTAAGAATGTTATGTGGTTACTTTTATAGCTTTCCACATAGTAGCTGTTTTTGTTTGCTTTCAATTTGAAGTAATCAGATTTTTATCTTCTTTTTTTTTCTTTGTTTTGCTATGGGCTTTACAAAGTAATAAATATTTCTAAGAGTTTCCACTCTTTGTTCTGTCCCCTGAGGTGGTTATAATGCTCAAGTCTCTTTGTTGGTTGCCTTTGACTAATGCTTTCCAGCTGCCCCGGGCTCGGCTCCTGGTTCCCAGTATGGCACAATGACCAGGCAGATTTCTCGACACAACTCTACCACTTCCTCGACATCTTCTGGTGGATACAGACGAACTCCCTCTGTGACTGCTCAGTTTTCTGCTCAGCCTCATGTTAATGGAGGTCCACTTTATTCTCAGAATTCAAGTAAGCTTGTGTTTCGCAGGCATACAACAGTAGTGGAGCTCCTCTCAAAGGAAATTATTTGAAACTGTTATTCTTGCCAGTGATAGACAACAATTGAAACCATGCTATTTGATATTTATTTTTGCTTTAGAATCTTAGTCCTAGAATCATAACTTGTTTATCACTTGTCCAAAATTTATACTAAAATTTATCAAATGCTTTAATATGCTATTTTCAATACAACAGAACACCTAGAGAACAGGAAAAAAATCACTAAAATAAATAAATTTATTTTTACTGGTGTGCTGGGGAGTTTGGTATAATGGTAAAATTAAAGACAAATAGTATGAAAAGTTACCTTTCAAATAGTAAAATGAAATTGCTGGCTATCACTTTTATGGCCATTAACTTACACTAAAATGAGTTCAGAACTACTTAGAAACATTTGTGATACTTGTTTAATTACTATCTTTGACTAATTCTAACAGTGGGAAGAATTCTTTGGATTTCTTTCTGTTCACCTAAAATTGCACATCTGAGTATTAATTGCTATCAGTGTTCAAAACTGATAAAATACTTTTAGCATGTAATGAGAAGTTTGAGCAGCTCAGGGTAGTCATTAAGTTCAAATTAAGTCCATATTAAGGTACTTAATGAAAATGAAAAAAAGAAAATGAAATCTCAAATAAACCTCTCGTCCAGTATTTGTCATTAGCTTAAGGTTGTGGTTACCAGGCATAGATCAAAATAGGGTTTTCCATGGAGCTTTTGTAATGGCTTTCTAGAGCTGCACCCTGTATTTACTGAAGAACCACTGCCAGTACTCCCAAGTTAACATTGGAAGTTGATTTAAGTTTTTTTCTTTTTTGAAGATTTATAATGTATGGCCTGAATATATATCTTAAGCAGAGATAAGGGAAAGCTCTTTCATTCACTTAAAATTTTTTAGAATTAGAGATTAATTGTTTTATAGCAAAAACTTGTAAAAATTGAAAACTACATTAGAAGAAATGTCAAAATATGAAGAAGCCAAATTTATGTGGCCTTTTCTCAAACTAGAATTTTCCTTCAAGCTAACAAAAAATTGTAAACTTCATTATTTAGAAATTTGCCTCACATTTCCCCTGGACATTTTTGATACTGAAGTTAGCTAGTGTCTGAATATTCTACAAATTAATAATTCACCTCACTAGTTTTATGAACTTTTCATTTTTTCATATTCTCCGTTTGAGATGTCATCTTTATGTTCATTATTTTTCTTTTCCCCATTTAGACATTTAAGTTACTCTATAAGTAGGATTATCTCACCTATACATGTTTATGTAGTTTTATTTTAGCAATACTTGGTGAGTTATTTTCCAGTAAGGCACTTTCATTAGCAAATATATACATTTGTTTGAATGCTAGAAACTAAATTGGCCTCAAATTTTAAATATATTATGTTTTGTCTAGCTATCCTTCAAGTTACTGTTGGTGTTGTATATTTTAATAGTATATAAATGTTTTAGTGTTTTGATGTGCATATTTTTCCTTTTGTCTAAATGTGATGCTAATGATTAGTATCTTCACAGTGTAGCTTTCCATTTTCTTTACATACTAACCAGCATGGCTAGTCACTAAAGGTTGTTTCTTTAAAAAACTGTAGGCTTGTGGGAATTACATTTGAAAAATCAAAACCTCTAAACTTTCATTTAACAGAATAAAGAAGATCAATACTTTAGTGAATTGTTATTTTTAGCCATAAAACAAATACTAATGCACATATGCTGCTTTAAGTTGTTGCTTCTTAGAAACCTGAACCTCTTTCAGATTTTTTCATGCTTACCACCAAAGTCTATGTTCTTGATTAACAGGAAACAGTTTTCTAAAAAATGATTTTTGGGAGCCAGTAAACTTTTTCTCAACGTGTAGTGTCACTTCTTGGTGACTACTGATAAACCGAATTTTGCTATCTAGCCTTACTTTTTCTGAGTTGTCTTTGGCAATTACTATTCTATTAAAATGAGAAGAAGTAGTAGTACATCTATGAGTGTTTATTTCTAGATTATATTTACAGGTTTTAAAAACACTGGCTGCCCAGAAAAGTGTTTGCTGTCAGTTTCCTATATATCAGGTCTTTTCTTGGAAGAAGTTTGAATATGTTTCAGGCTAACCAGTGATTTTGTAGAAATTAATACAAAGTATTGGCACACTTTAATTTATTCATCATCTCCTTTTTTCAAAACAGTGATAAAAAGTTCCCCCATCCCCTGGAAGTATGAATAAGTAACATGGTATAAAGAGTGTTTTTATTTCTTAGCAATATCTTAAAAAATTCAATTGCCTATTTATGTTTTACAAACAAGGGGCTCTGGAGAGTTGTGTATAAAATTAAATTAATACACTTATTTGTGTAATCAGCATGTATAATATTTGTTTATATTGGTCCTACTTTACAAAAAAAAGCCAGACAAAAAATCTGTTACTTTATAGAGTTATAGCAAAACCACAGTGTTCTGGAAACTTCTGTAGGTATTTCATTGTTAGGTATTTTAGAAGTCTTTTTTTTTTTTTTTTAAATCAGTACCAGGGATTGAACTCACGACTGCCTGCTTGCAAGGCAGGCGCTTATGCCGCTGAGCTAAATCCCCAGCCCCTAGAAGTCTTTAAGAGTTTGAAAATTTCATACCCTAAAATGAATGTGAGGGTAAATTTTAAAATTCCCCAAATAATATATAACATTAGGATTAAATTTAATATATGTATTCTTTTGTACATTTAGACAGTTGGCTAAGCACACTTGGCTTTAGGTTGGCTTGGGGGACATGAACTTGAAGAGAGTTCTTCAGATTTTTGTTTTGTTCTGTTTTGTTTTGTTTCATTTACAAACTGTTCTTTGCATACTTATGTTTGTGGTCCTTGTAACTGACTTCTGCTTTTTGTTTGTTTCCTTTTCTTTCCTTTATCTGTTTTACTTCCCCCATACTGTGTTGTTGCTACCAGTTTCTATTGCTCCACCCCCTCCCCCGATGCCTCAATTGACTCCACAGATACCTCTCACAGGCTTCGTGGCCAGGGTGCAGGAAAACAGTAAGTTTGGAAAACTGAGCTATCAAAGAATAGAGGCTGTCTCCTTATAGCATGCATGGCTGATGAGTCATTTTTCTTACTTTTACTGAGAAGCTAATATTATCTTGAACATAGGTACAGATATATTACTGAAACTGAAGAGCACGGTCTTCAGTTTTTTCTGTGTGCATGATTACTTACTCATATAAATTTCAAAACTACGGCTTTCTTAAGTGTGTGTGTGTGTGTGTGTGTGTGTGTGTGTGTGTGTGTATATGATCTGAAACCTTAAGATCTGATCTTTGCATAATACAAACTCCTACTTTTAGTAGTTACCAGATAATTACAAAATATTTTGTATTCTAACAAATTTATCAAGATACATTTTGAGATTATTTATGAGGAAACTAGTACAGATTTCCCCCCCTGAATTATTAAAAAAAATTTTAGGGAATACTTGTGGCTCAGATCTTTATATATAAATGGTTTTGAACATAGTTAAAAGGTTCATTGTTAAGAATAAGTAAATTATATTCATGCTGTCCATTTAATAGTGAGTGATAATGAATGTAGGTAGACCTCACTTCTTAATACAGGTCCGTAAGTTATTTCTGAATATGTAAATCTGTCAACTTTTTTAGGTCTTCTCTGAGGACCAGATTTAATGATTTTTGTGAATTGTTTCTAATCGACTTTAATCAGGCTAGACTCGTTTACGCTATTGCCTGATTAATTTTGAAGTTTGAGAAAATAGATAATTTTAATTACATGATCACAGCGAGTATTGTGTGGCAAAAAGAAAATTGCTGAATTGTATTATGCCAAAAAAATCGCTCAGGCTAAGATGGTAATATTGTCTGGTTGTAATCTACTTCATGTGGGACCTCTCTGTGGAAAGAAGTTTCAGAAGGTTTGAGCAAATGAGGAACACACATGATGAGCCCGTCGTTTAGGAGAATGTACTGTGGCAGCTTTCTCCCCATTCCCCCCCTTCCACCAGTCACATACTCATTTATTCAATATTATGTGTTAGGCTCTGAGAAGAACACAAATAATTTAAGACAAAGTCTTTGCCTTCAAGAAGTGTATAATCTACGGGTTTAATAGGAAACATTAGTTTCAAAATGTTGAAGTTTCTATCTTTTTTAAAAAAATTTTTTTGAGACAGGGTCTTACCATTGGTTCAGGCTAGCTTTGAACCCACTATGTAGCTCAACCTGAGCTGGAACTCGCTGTGGTCCTCCTGCCTCAGCCTCTTGAGTCCTGGAATTACAGCCATGCACCATCACATCCAGCTAAAATGTTGAAATTTCTGAATGTTAATGTTCCTTACTAAATATTAACTGCTACTTGAAAATTCTGCTCATTTAAAAATGACTGGGCCAGGGATTTAGCTGAGCTGCATAAGCGCCTGCCTGGTAAGTGCAAAGTTGTTTGACCCCCAGTACCAAAAATAAATAAACAAAAATAAATTTTAAAAAATAAAAATAAGTGACTCTTAAAAACAATAAGTGACTCATATTTTAAAAATAAGGAATTTAGGGTAAGTTACTGGTCCTTAATGCTGAAACAATTTAAAATTAAGCCACAAGCCACTTTACTTTATTGAACTACTGTATTGCTAAGAATTATTAGAAATAACTTAAAATTTGACATAATTGATATGAGTATTATGGATTCAAGGGTGATTGATAAATTTTTATGGATAGAAATCCATTATTGATGTACATTATTTTCAAGCACTTATGCTCATTGCTAAAAGACCTTTAATTATTTTAATTCTTTTCACCAAACATGAACTTGAGTGAGTTACTCTCCTTATACCACAGTTTCTCTGAGTTTATTTGGCATGTATTTTTAAAAAAATCATGTTAAGGCAGTTAAGAATAAACTGTACCACCACTTTAAATAGTTTGTGGATAACAAATTTTCTGTCTTTAAGATGGCCATTTTCTTTGGATTTTAAAGCTGGTGACAATAACTGTTAAACTTACAAGTTTATTAGTAAGTGTTTTGGTTTACAATGAGCCTGTAAATCAGCAGTGTGTTAGTATTCTTTTATGATTAGTAGCAGAAAAATTTTGTAAATTAAATGTGCATAATGCTATGTGGTATTATGCAAAGAAATAGATTGACTGACCTCCAGCCATATAATGAAAATATACTAATGTCGATTTACTGTAGTTGGACATAGAGGCATTCATGTAAAAACATGGAGGTAGTAAGTTGTGTATAATTCAAGAGCACTGGCAATCTAGGCAAGTGTATGTGATTTATCTGTTAAGCCAGGTTAAGCATATGAGTTTAATGTTGGGGTGGATTCATACCCATTTTCCTTTCTTCAATATTAGGAAGATTGGTAGAGGAGGTATCAGCAAAAATGCAGTGGATACATGCATGTTGTAGAAAAATAAATCACACACCCTTTGGACAGCTATTAGAGTAGTTTATCTTTTAATCACTGTTTTAATCCCCAGGGGTAAACAGAAATCACACAGTTGAAGTGCTGATGAGAGTAAGGCAGTTTACTATACATGTTTTAAATGGAACCTCTTGGTTAGAATGTTAGCACATTATTCCAAGTCAGATCAAGTAAAATTTAAATACCTGTATCAGTTTATATAAAATCTTTCCATTTATTTTCTGAACTTTCAATGAAATTTAATAGATCAGAAATTTAAGCATTAGTTGTGTTTTGAATTCTACACTAATGTATTGGTGTACTTACTACTTGGTATCATAACAGTTCAGTCAAAATGGTTCTAATTGTTTTCCCATTTCACTGTAAATACTTGGTTAGTTAAAAAGCATAAATGCATATTTAACATGGCAATTCAGAATTAGAAGTATGATTCATTTTATTGTTTTAAGTTTGTTTTTGTTTTTTATTTTATTATTACATCTTTCTTCAACACTTTATGTTTAAATCTTAATTGTGGTTCTGTTCTTAGAAAAATGGATCCTTCTTTAAGATCTGGCCTTTCCCTCATCTCATACTTCTGTTTGATTAGCAGTAATACAAAATTTTATCTTCATTAAAAAAACATTTAAAAATACTTAAAGATTTTCCACTAACTGGAAATTTTTCTTGTTAAAACTTTATAGGAAACCTACATACAGAAGCAGACCTGATACTACCAACTTTTTCTCTCCATTGAAACACAGTGAACAAAAATATGCCCACGTGAGACTTAGTTTTCTAGGTCACGGAAGCTAGTAGAAACCCAAAATTACAAGTGTGGATGAACACACAGCAAAAAAAACTATTCAACCATTAATATAGTAATATTTACTATAATTCAAATCACAAATATGAATAAGGTTTTATTTTAGGCAGCTAGAAAATAAGGTTTTATTTTAGACATTAAGAGTGATGTTTGTTTTGGCTTGAGCCTTGGAATAAGGAGACTTCTATAATCTTTAAAAGACATTGTTTCCTAACCTCTTGCATTCATTAATTTTTTATTTCTTGATAGTCTTATTTTAAGCTCGTTTTAATACTGCAGAATTACAAGTAGCATAAACTTTAACTCACCAAACTATTTCTAATCATTGCATGTTTTATTGTAGTGCATGCTGTATATGTTAGAGCTTTCTTACATCTTATTAATTTATACATTTCCATTTAGACCAATTTCTGATTCATATTATCTGAATCTTTTTAGTTGCTGATAGCCCAACTCCACCACCACCACCTCCACCAGATGACATTCCCATATTTGATGACTCTCCACCTCCCCCACCTCCTCCTCCAGTGGACTATGAAGATGAGGAAGCTGCAGTAGTGCAGTATAATGACCCATATGCAGATGGGGATCCTGCCTGGGCCCCCAAGAATTACATTGAGAAAGGTAAAGTGTCATCCCTCATCATAGAACTGATGTGTGATGGTCAGTACTTAATTTTAGAACTCTGGAAAACATTTGGTCCTGTTGCTGTTGCCCACTTTGCTGTAAGGATTAAAAATCTTCAAAAATTGTTGGTTTTGTTAAGACTATAGATTTAATTGGCATTATAATTTGATATTCAATTAAATACTGGATATAGAGCACTCAAGATATTTCGATTATTTTCTCCACAGTTGTTGCAATATATGATTATACAAAAGACAAGGATGATGAGCTGTCGTTTATGGAGGGTGCAATCATTTACGTGATAAAGAAGAATGACGATGGCTGGTATGAAGGGGTCTGCAACCGAGTGACTGGTCTCTTCCCTGGGAACTATGTTGAATCAATCATGCACTATACTGATTAATTTTTTATTTTTTAGCTTTTGAAGTAGATTCTTATTACTCAGTCATACTGTGGGACTATTATGGTTAACAGAATTGTCCTAAGTTTTTAAAAGTACCCATGTTTTCAGGCCATGCTGTCTATTGGTATATTTGAATGTCTCCTTCTTAGCATAAATCTCAGTGGCAGTTTGTATTTTGCTAAACAGCAATTTATACAATGGACTGCCCATAAATGATTATGCTTATATACTTATACATTGTTAACTTTATGACCAGCCTAAATATTCTGGGAAAGTGGGGCATATTTAACAAATCATGATTGAGACTACATTACGTTTCAGTGCATCATGGTTACTAATGCTATGTCAGACTAATACTAAAATCAGAAAACTTAAATGCTGGTGCTGGTCATACTTTTTGTTTAGATTCTCTCATTTTTAAAAACTATTTGTTTAAAGCATGCATAAAAGTTTATGTATTGAAATATACTTAAAAATTCCCAGATGCTTCCAATTTGTGTACCACTTCCTAGAATACTCATATTAGGTGAGTTGCTAAGGTCTTCATGTGAAACAAAAAGAATTATCTGTAATGTTGTAATTTGTAACTTAAGTTTTTTAATGAGTGAATTTGCATTATAAATTTTTCCATTCATAAATACATAAGTGAACCAAAGGTTTTTGTCCTTTCCTTCACTGGTTTTCTTTTTTAAAAATACAAAAACTGACCTATTGTTGAATTATGGTTCTATTTTCGCAATACATTAACTTGGAAAAAAAATTTCGCCTTATCTCAGTGTCCCAAAGCAATGTGATGGAGTTTTGCAGATTTAAAATCTGAGATGATTATTTACAAGTCAATCTACAGAATTCCTTTTTTAAAGTAACTTTTAAAGCAAAGGAAATGTTTCAAAGTCTACACACATCGTTCTATAGGTAAAATTCTTAAGGAATGCCATGGTAGTCCTTCTGTTTCACAGTGGACTGTTGTACACTGGTTCAATAAAAGGAACCCGTAAGCATTTTTTACATATTGTAAAAGTGGATGCAGTTTATTTGTGAATAGTCATTATTTAATTAATCCATTGCCTGGCATTAGCAACACAAGGTTTTAAAAGAATTGGGCAAGGTGAATCACGTGTTAGTGAAGAGATACACTTACATAACCAACAGATCTGTAGTGTCTTTTAACAAAATTGAAGTGTAACACATGCACTTTGTGTGTTTCGTTTTAACTCAAGGGAAGTTAAATGGATGTTTTTTTCTCTTTTTATCTTACGTATAATTCTTTATTGCTTAGGAATCTAAAGTAGAGCACTCCAGTGTGGGTTTCTGTGTACTAAGGATTTATTTGGATTTCAAATTTCAGTTATATACTGGGGGCGTTACAGACTTAAAACAGTATAGTAAATAGTGAGACTAATGCAAACACTTATTTCTGAAAATTAAAGACCATTATTGCTGCCAAATCAATGTGACTGCTTCATATACGTTTTGCCTTTAATTTTAAACAAAAGTATCATTAGTGATTCTACTTCCCTTTTTCAAGTTGAATGTTCCCTTAATTTGTATATAATCTGTTGTCTAATTTTTATGTGTAATCTTTTATAATAAACCATTCTATGTGAAATTTTGCATATTATTAAAATACAGCTAATGTGGATTTAGGTGCAGACCACACATTTTCTAAGCTGCCTCTTACGGCGAAACAACACAAGCCACATAAATTTTAACATTGATTGTTTATTTGTGCAATGGCTTCACATGTGGCTATTAACTGTGTAAACAATACCACATATAATCAAGATACCTCGATTAGACTTTATAAGGACCACAATGACAGATTCAGGTGTTTTAATTTCATTTAAAAAGTTTTCTGAAAAACTGCCAATAAAAAAAAAAACCTGCCCAACAGAAAGATTGAAATTATTTTTTAAAATGATTTCTGGTTATCTGCACACAAAGCAAACAAAGTACGTTCCACAAATTGTTTAGGCACAGTCTGGTAAAATAGCTGCCAGAAAGAACAAAAAGAATTATCATTTTTCTCTTGTGAGTACAATTTCTGAAAGCTGAATGAGGGCGTCTCTCTCTGGGGATGGTCGGAGTTTACTGATCTCCCTTATTGCTTCGTGGCAGTACTGCTGGGCGAGGTAGGTTGTTTGCTGCACACCATCACTCTGTGGGGAAGGGAACAAAGCACAAGTTACCGTGACTGGATCGGCTCTCAGGTTCGGGCTCCAATGGATTAAATCAGACTGTTGAGGTCAAATGAACGACGAGTGAGTCCTGCTCTTAACAGCCCAACTATGTTTCTTAGGTTCTCTTTCCAACTCATAGTTTTAGCCTTTTCTTTTTTAACTGAAGCAAATTTTTATTAGCGTACAAAGAAAGTGACTCATTTATCGAGTAGGTATCTTCTGTTTTTTACTTAAGTAATCAAGTTTTTTCAAAGTTCTAACAGGGTGTGGTAACATGCACCTGTAACTCCAGCACTTTGGGAGGCTGAGGCAAGAGGATCACAAGTTCAAACCCAGCATGGACAACTTAGTGACATCCTGTCTTAAAATAAAAAAAGGGCTGGACATGTGGCTTAGTGCAAAGGCCCTAAATTCAATCCAAGAACCACATCCACAAAGCAGGGGAAAAAAGCCTATTAAAATATATACCTCTATACAGAATTCTACATAACAAAGGAAATTTTTTAAATGATAAAGCATTTTCAATAAAGGGCTTATGATGAAAATCAACAGTTCCTTTCTCCTGAAAGCACTAGCTTTATCACTTATTTATCAGATATCCTGTTAAGAAGGATGTTTTAGCTTACTCATATTGTGTCTAATTTGATCATTATATTGCTGTCTTTAGTTCTTAATTCCTTTGTCATCATATAGCATCAACTGTCTTTGTAAGATGATGATACAGTGCTTGTGTCTTTAACTCTACCATTACATTCTATTTTGTAATTGTTTTTAATGTTGGTTTTTTTCTAAAAGCTGGACATATAATAAAATACCTATTACTTCTACAGTGTAAAAATACTGTGGAATGAAAGTCTTAACAGTATAATTTTATTTCCTTCCCCTTGGTTTGTGATCCCACTGTCATTTAGAGTAAAATATTTCTAACAATATGGTTGAAAGGCTTCTGGTTTTTTATGCTTTTCCAGTTGTTCAAAACATGACATATTTTAGTTGGCCATGCCCTTCTGTGCAGAGGCCTGCTGCCTATCTTGTTTCTATACATTTTGCTGAAGTACATTTGCAAATAACTTACACAAAAATACATAAGGGACATCAACTCTTTAGTCCTTCTGTGTGGAAATGACTTCCACCCACGGCTGACCTGATGGAGTGTGCAGTCCTCAGCTGAAGTGTCTCCTGGTTATCACTAGGAAGGCCCTGACTCACTGCTTTGTAGCACTCAGGGTCTGCCATGCAATGAACTAGTTTTAGTATCTCTTCTTGTGCAGGTGACCACATTTTGTTCTCTGCGTGTAGTATTTGTTGCAGCTGCAGCTTTTCTTTGGAGTCAGTTTTTCAGTCCTTTACAATTTCTTGAGAGATTGTTCTATTTTTTTAGTCTTTGTTTACCTTGGTTTCTTTTGTTCAGCAAGCTTTAAATCAACTCTAGTAATACTGAATTGTTCATTCATATATAGGGACAGAGTCCAGAAGCTGGGATATACAGGGCACTGTAGTATAGAGGTGTTGGAGAACATCTGGAGAAAAATCTTACCGATTTTTTTTCCCCTAGGTGCTTTACTGGCTAGGCCTGTTTCAGCAAAACAGCAACGAGGCTTCTGTACAAAGAGGCACAGCAAAGTAAAGTGCTGTATTTTGATTACTTACAGACTATTTCAGTATTTTGCCTAAGAGGTATAATTTTCTTCTTTTTAGTCCTATTTCTTACTGCAGCCTTTTGTCTCTTTGTAACCATGTGTTCAACCAGAGGTTGAAACAACCTTTATAGAAATCATGTGTAAGGAGCTGGGCATACTGGCATATACCTGTAATTCCAGCACTTCAGAGGCTAAGGCAGGATGAGTACCACGAATTCAAGGCCAGCCTGGGCTACAGAGTGAGTTCAAGGCCAGCGTGAATTGCAGTGAAACCCTGTCTCAAAAAGACCAACAACAACTGTGTCTACTGAACATAGGCAGACATGTTTTCTTTCTGGTTATTATTCCTTAGACAATACTACTGACAGCATTTACAGCATAGGGTAGGAGGCATAAGTAATCTAGAGATGCTGTGAATGTACATGGGAGGATGTGTGTAGGTTTGGCAGTGCTTTGGAAGGGGCTTTAGCATCCATGGATTTGGATACCCAAGGGGGATCTTGGAACCCATGCCCCTGAGATACTGCAGGATATTTGGCATATTGCTTCTGAAACCAGAACTGCTCTCCAGGGTTCTTTACTGGCTACAGCACCATCTTATACTGAGTTTTTATAATCCTGCCAAACCACTCTCTTTATGATACGTAATAGTAAAGTTAAACAGAAATCTATCCTTTTGAATGAGTTTTGGTTTTGTAAACTTTTTAAATCTGAAAGGTAGTTATTTCAAGCATCACCAGGAGTTTGGATCTCAGACCACATACAGTTAACTAACATTTTGAAACTATACAAAAGATCCTGTTTTAAAAGAAAAGTTGAGAAAATATATGGCAGTATATCTTAAACATTTGGCTTCTGAACAGTTAAACAGTTCTTCCTTTAGAAGAATGACATTAATATAAATCTATAATTGCCTATGAGCATTTCTTTGTAAGATTTACTGGGTGGATGAGTAGATCGTTTTAGTAAGTCTTGCCGTAGTAAAGATGAGGGCTTGGACTAACTTGTCAGTCCCAGGACCTGAGTGGTGCTACTGATGGGCATGGAAAAGACTGCTTTAGGACAAAGAAGCTCTTAATACACAAGTCTTGCCCAGGGTCAGTTAAATTATTTGAGCCCCGTATTGTCCAAGGAAATTAAAAATGAGAAAAACTTTATCTATTTTGTTAATAAAGTTGTGGCATTGTGCCTGATGCTGACATCCTTTTCAAAATAATCCTACCTGGAAAACGTATTGTCGAGCTCTGTCCACGTCTCCCGGCAAACTGAACCGTCTCATTATCATGGCATTCATTTCTGGGAACTAACAATAAAGGCATTTATTTATTGTCCCTAGAAGAATCAAGTGTTTTCACACTAATTTGTAATAGGTAGTAATAAAAAACCCAAAACGATGTCTAAGTGGCTCGATGGCACTGGGGTGCGGTAAACTAGCAGTTAAAAGAAGCTGTGCTAGCACAGACACCCGCTGTCTGCCCAGGGATGGCAGTGATGCATGGAAAGGAGTGGCCACTGGTCCTGTGCATTTTGGTGCTCTGTTCTCTCCTTGGTCCAGTTCTGAGAGAAACGAGGAACAAAGTACTTCTCCAGAATCTCACTTAACACCCCCAATTCTGAAACTTTAGATTGTAGCCTGAGTCTCTGAACAAATTCCTAGGCACCTCTGGTTCATAACGTTTTGAGACCCACTGGCTTAGGATGAGGGAGGAATCTAGCATTCTGCCTGCAGTGCTAAACTGAAGAGCACTGAAAGCTGTTAAGATTACTGGGCGGAGGAGGGGTGAGCACGGCTCCAGAGAAGGGCTGCTTGATGTTGCAGTCATGAGGCAGCTAAAATACAGTTGCCTGTGCCCCACTCCCAGTGATTTGGTTATACTGGCTTGGGATTTAGCCTGTGCACCAAGATTCTTTTTAAAGTTTCCAGGTATTCTTAATATGTAGCCAACTGAATTAAAGGAGAGGTACCATCTGGTAGTGCTAAAAAAGACCAGAATTATCCTGATGGTAATAAAATGAAAGAAGATACAAAAGACATCAAAAAGGAAATTTGTATTCTACAGTTCTTAGTAACCACTTAGGAGAACTGCACCATGGACAGGAAACGAGGATAACAGATCACTTCCTAGTTCGAGGCCCGAGTCCTGATTCTGCCATCGTCTGCCACAGCTGACTGAGTCCCTTATCTCTGGTGTCTCAGCTTCACTTGCCTCATGATCTCAAATCCCTGACTTATAAGTCTGTAGCTGTGGAATAAGAGGAAGGAGTGTTTAGTCTTGGACACTTCAGTGCTTAAAAGCAGCTGCCAGTTTTTCCCTGGAAGTGAGCCTGAAGGATGAAGTAAGTTGTCCTGTAACCATCACCATGGTATGAGTAATTCTGGATGAAAAAATGGCACACATGGGAAAACCTTACCCAATGGTGGCAGATGAGAAAGAATGTTTTCAGGGCAAAATTTGATGGAATACATACTCCTCTACTGTTGCCTCAAACATACGTAGTGTGGTCCTGGCCACTGACCTTTGTGTTTCCTAATGAGGTCTCTGTCCTAGTGATTCTCTCTGCCCTGCAGTGTCTGTCATCCAGTCTTAGTATGGTTTAATTTCTTGTTATTTAGATGTACTTAACATGCAAGATTGCTAACATTCTTAAAGAATTTAAACTGTGCCAGAGATATAACTCAGTAACACAGCACCTGCCTGGCAAGCATAAGGTTCTGTGTTTGATTCCCGGAAAAAAACAAACAAATGAAAAACCACACAGGCCTTAACAGAAACAAATCAGGAAAGCTCCAGTCAAAACTTTTTTTTTTTTTTTTTTTTTTTTTTGTGGTAAAAAAACCACATCAGGTAGCCATTTGTTTTAGTTTAGTTATTTAAATACCACATTCCAAAATATGATCTTGCCTGAGTACCTACTGTAAAATTAACCTGTTTATAGTGTGGTAAAACATGCTGATTTTTCCTTTAAAAAGCAAAATTTGAAACCATATTTGCATTGCATGTAACTACAATTTTAAACAAGTATATACAGTTTTAATACGCAAATATCAAACTTCCTGCAAGGCATTCCCCAGCCCCTTCATGTGTATGTAGAGAGAAGTAAGAAATGGGAAGAAGAATTGTCTACTTACAGACTTGGTGAGAGGTAGTATTTTTGCTCAGACTCTGTTTTTAAGAGTAGGAAAGCAACCTGTGAATGAGTCAGACTCTACATCTGTGAAATCCATCCATAAACTACAAAGGTGATCAGTAAATGAGAGTGAGTTTACCCAAACACAAGTGGGTAACTAAGGCATCAGCCAGTCACGACAGCAGAAAGCTTGGGCAGCTGCTGCAGGGCTGCTGATGGCAGGTGGAAATATGGCTACAGGCTGACATTTAGATCTGTTACCAAAGAAGAGAGGCACAAGAAAACGTTTTTTTAAAAAGATTTAAAAAAACCCTGACATTTCCATTTTTTTCTAAAGATTTTAAGATCCAATCAATATATCCTTGAAAGATTTAGCATGAGTTTTCTGTTCTTAAAAGTACACACACACACACACACACACACGCACACACGCACACACGGAATACTGCAGTCTCCAGAAATCCTGAAACTTTCTTAGCTTTATTTTTTTTGTCTTTTTCGTTATTGGTACCAGGGATCGAACTCATGACTGCCTGCTTGCAAGGCAGGCGCTTATGCCGCTGAGCTAAATCCCCAGCCCCGTTAGCTTTATTTTTTTGTAGTGCTACGGCCCAAACACAGGGCTTCACCCATACTGAGCAAGTGCCTACTACTGAAAATTTTCTCAACTTCCCTTACCATTTGCTGACAGCCAGGAAATGCCTTTAGGGAGATGTCAGGAAATTTTAGGACAACCTCCCATGCCAAGTAAAAAAGGCAGTTTCCCAAGATTGCCTGTCTGGTCCATGGAAACTTAGTCAGGGTCAGATGAAACTGTTTAAACAACACCTAATCTGCTGGCCACTGTGGTACATGTCTGTAATCCCAGCATTCGGGAGGCTGAGGCAGGAGAACTGCTGTAAGTTGAGTTCAAGGCTAGCCCAAAGTGCATAGTGAGACCCTGTTTCAAAAAGACAATAAAAACACAAACAAACAAACAGTAATCTGCAAACAAAACATCTACTTACAAAACAGGGCTACAAACACTCTCGAACTACTGCATGGGTGTATTAATGAGAAATAAGGAGTAGCGGACCTGTAGTGACCTTGTGCTGTTAGCGCGGGGCACACGGGCTTCCCAGGGAAGCACCCAGGTTATATGAGCTGAATGAAGAACAGTGAGGTGTTAGACAACTCATCACCTATTAATTTTATCAGCAGTAACCACACCGAGTACAGAACACTGGGTCTTAGAAGATTTGGGAACAGTCAATGGCCCTCTGTGCCATTTACCAGATGTTTAATTTTGGCCAGGCTTGAGCAGCAGCTTCTTATTTATAAAATAGACATCAGAATATCTACCACAAAGGGGAATTGTAGGATTAGATATAAAGTGTCAAAGAATCCTTTATAAATTATATAGAACACATTTTCATTAACTGAAGATACACAGCAGTTCTTAATGTTATTTTTGGAACTGCTTTACCCAAAATTACTTTAACTTCTAATAAATCTTGGTAAGAATCCTTTTTTTTTTTTTTTGACAATGTAACCCACAGGAGAGTATAAACTTGGTGTTTTATTTGAAAATAATTTATGAATACATATTTGCCTAACAATAATTACATACTTGATTAACTTTTGGCCCATGTGCCAGAAGACAAAAAAAGAAAAATCAGCCTGCTTATGAAATAAAGTGTTGTCCGGAGTCACTTCCTGCTTGGCCTCAACAAGTGTTCCCTTTTTGAGGGTGAGGCTGCCCTGTGCCTTTGTAATCTCTCTTCCCCACTGCTTTACGGGCGAGGAAAAGTGCTGTCTGGTGAGAATGAGTAGAGGCCTTATGACCCTGGGACTTCCCAGGGAAGCACACGCAGTTGTGGTTTGAGGGCACTGCAGCCCTTCATTGTTCCTTTTCCTTGTGTCCTATCCCCTGCACGTCAGCATTTTCCTGCCTACTGTAGATTACCAACAGATTGGTGTACAGGAGGGGCCTGCCCTGCACCCCAACCCCGCCATCCCGTGCACTATGTCTGAACGCAGAATGAGCCATTACTCCTAGTGATGAGGCCACACTATTCTCAACTAATCATCTTAGTTTAGGGCGCACTCAATGGTTAGAATCACAGGCTCATAAGAACTACCAATCATTGCTGAGATTGCTAAAAGCATAGCAACCAAAATTTTTAGTAGATTATAAGCCGTTTTAGAGAAACGCCTGTTTCTTCATCATCCTAATATGGTCATTTCAGGGCCTCCCTGAATGAAGCCTTCACACTCTTCTTTCCTTGTCTTCACTGACTGGTATCTGAGGGCACTAAGTGGGACCATACCTTTACATTTCCATGGCTTTGGATGATGATTCTTGTGTGGGTTTATGGCAAAACAGAAAATGTTCTCCACTTGTAATATAGTAAAGGCGGCTTTTACACACTTTTGCCAGAATTTGGCATGTATTCACTGCACTCCTTTCACTCCTCACCTCAGCCTCAAAATTTTGAGAGGTTAGAACCTGGTGAAGAGGACAAGTGTTTCCAGCAAGTATCCAACATCGCCACGCATAGCCCCCACTCCTCAACTGCTGCTGAACATCGCCTGGGCCAGCATCTGGGGAAGCGCCTCCTCTGGGCCAGTTCACCTCTGCCAGATGGAGGTGAGAGATGGCCTCTCCTGGACTGACCAGATGCTAACCAGAGGGAAGGGCACTGGCTTCTGTGTTGAAATGGAACCAGCGAGTGCTATAGCTGATGTGACTTACTCTTTGTGAGTTTGAAGAAAACAGCCAAAATCTGACAGACCAAAAAGCTAGCTTTTGTTTTTTCTTTTTGTTGAGTACTGGGAATCACACTCAGGACCTTGTGCTTGCTAGGCAAGCGTGTATACCACTGAGCTATATCCCTGGCTCCAAAGGTAGTTTTTTATTTTAGGACATGGTGATGAACATCTCAATGTTCTGCTAAATAATGAATTAAATGCCACTGAGATGAAACTCCATTTTAATAATGTTTAGTACCAGCTAATGGCCCACTTATTTCCACTGACATCTGGTACAGCCAGAAGCAGCATGGCCAGGGTCCAGACAGCCTGTGCAAATGTCTGCTCTGTAAGTCACACAGCATCTTCCATATTTCCAAAGCTTTTCATTCATATTAAGGATGAAACTTTACTTCCTTCTTTCCTTGCCAGTCCCCTACGTAGCTCTAGTGTATTCCACTGATTAACTGACATTTTGAGGCAATGACTGAGCAGTGAAAGGCCCATTATGCCAGAACTGAGGAATTTCTCAGAATTTCTTAGGGTTGGAGGCATCCACACATTCTAGTCCTACAATTAAGATGTGGAAACCATTCACCTTGCCATTGCCCAAAATAGATGCGATAAATCATGCTTCCTTAAGTGTATACAGCACTTCACAGTTTATAAGACAGCAAGTATTATTTCAGTAAATCCTCTTGACACTCTGGGGTCGGGGATTATAATTACAGATAAGGCTTAGAGGTGAAATGATTGACCCCAACACATCAGTCATGAAACCAGGATCAAATCTAGATCTTTGGTCTCTTCTCTTACTGTGTCCCCAGCTATTCCTTATCTCAGCCTTCCTGTCAGCTGTTTCAAGAGACCGTGGTCCTGCAGGGCCACCAAGCAGCGTATTGAAGGCATCTTGTGAACCTACCTGCCGGCATGCAAATAGGACTGGGCCAGTGGCTAACCCGAGCTTCAGGTCGGTGGATGTCGGTTTGCCCATCTGTTCGGAACATGAGGTGAAGTCCAGCACATCATCTATGAGCTGGGGAAAGGAAGGGATGTGAGAAGCATCCCCATGCCACCGCCCTCTGCTGATCCAGTCATACTCTGGGGAAGGGCCAGCTTTCCGGCCGTGCAACCTTTCTTGTGGGGAAGGCACACACCAACCTGAAAAGCCATTCCCACATTTCTTCCATATTGATAAGCGATCTCATGCACCGCTGGGTCTGGGCATCCCAGGACAGAGACCTAAAAAGCAAACAAGATTTGGAGATAAGTTATTGGCAGCCAAGCCAGGATGAAAGATCAGTCATATAGTCACTTGAAGAAGAGGCATTGGGGCTACATCATACAGTATCAGACACACTATCAAAAGAAGGTTCAACAGATACAAATTATTCCTACTTTTTCTATTTGGCAGCAGTAGGGACTGACCCAGGGCCATCCATATGTTACGCAAATGTTCTATCACAGTTATATCCCCAGGCTATTTTCTTAAATTTTAAGAAAATGATATCCCTTACCTATTCCCACTTCTTTCAGAAAAGAATAAGCAGCCTTTGCCAGTGCTTAAGAAGAACTGAGCTATGATGAGATGTGTTCTGCCAGTCCTATGCTAGGTAAACCTTTCTGTCCTGAAAAAGCAGATGACAATGTGTGAAATGCGGGCTCCCAGTACGCAGCATGTCAGTCCAAATACTGCGGGCTGCACAGCCACTTCGGCCTCCTTTCTGTACCATCAACCTGTGTGCAGCTTGTTCTTTTGGTAACTGCTGGTGACTCTCACTTCTGAACACAGCTGTCACTTGCTGTACCTGTCACAGCCTCGAGTATGTCTGGACAGTGTCTCACTTCAAGGATCTTCCCTGATCCTACTATTTCTGTAATGTAACTGTATAAAATACTGCATTTCCCCCTTGTCAGTGTCAGGGAGAAATAGGACTTTAAAAGTCTTTTTGAAACCATGAAGGAATCTGTCTGGTGCCAGCCTGAGTGTATTTCCCACTGCCCTGCAAAGCATGCTAAGCAGGTCTACTCACACTTTCGAAAAACAGAGACTAGGTCCAAACCAAAGCAGGATAAGGAGAGACACCCTGCTCTACTAGAGAGGAAGTATTTCTATTGACTCTCAGTGAAAAAGCCAGATGGAGCTCTTCACAGCTGTCTTCTACAATGCGTCATGGGTGATAAATGTCCCTGTTCCTGACCTTCAGTCCATCTCTGTGGTCCTGTCCGGCTCTATCTTGCCCCGGCAAGGTATATGGGGGCTGGCTCCACAGTGAGACTGCCAAGGTCATACTTAACGCCCTGATAACCGCCATGTCCCCGTAGCATGCTGTGTTTCAGTTTCCTCATCTGTGAAATGCACCTACTGTAGAGGGTTAATGAGAAATAAATGTGATCCTACGCCTAACCACTAAGCAACTTTGCCTGGCTTCTAGTTAAAGCTCAATCTGTATTTGCTATTATTATTAATGATCCTCCTCATTTTTCTCCCTGGATCCAGAACCAGGAGCCAGGGCAAAGTCCATGCACCTCTGCTATTTAAAGTCAGATCATGTAATGTCCTCAGCTCCGAGAATGTTTTTTGACTACTTAATGTAGCCTGTGCTGTAATGGTTGGCCACAAGTACAGGATAAAACGCTCGTAACTGTTTCCAACAGTATAGACCTGACCATGCTCTATAGAGGAGAGAGCTCTGTGGGCCCACATGGGGGCAATTTAAAAACTTAAGCAGCTAAGACATCCAGTTGGCTCAGAGAATGAGAGCAGAGCTAGGTCTGGGCAGGCTGGAATATGCTGAGCTCAGAAAAGAAAGATGGTCCTTTTTCCTAGAGAGAAAATAACTAATAACAAGCAATTTCCTGTAGTGAGATTGTTATTTTATCTATACAAAGCCACTCAGAAGTATACACGTTCTGAAAAAAAAGTCTTAAATATGATTAGCATTTTGCATTACTTTAGTTAAAACTCAAAGTATCACATACATATTAATTATGGAACTTCTGCTGCCGGTGTTTCATCAATTCCTGAGCACTTGCCATGTGCTGGACATCATTCTCAGATTTCTCACATAGAGGGTTAAGAGTTGTTACACGGTGAAGAGATGAAGGAATCGGCGTCTCATCCAAATGCTTTACCCCACAAAATCGCCCCCAATCACTCTGCAGTTTAGCTTCTGAGGGATCCCAGAAGCTCGCAGAGGTCAAGGACGGTACGAGTGTGCACAGTGAGGCCTGCTCTGGGCCTTGTCTGCAGGCTGCCGCTCTCTCCATGTGGAGGAGTTATGTTTGTTCTTGGGTTTAAACTCCTGGAGCCTGTGGGCCGCCGCAGTGTGTCCTGACCCCTAACTAGGCTAAGCACAGTCTGGATCTGTGGCAAGCTATCAGGAAACAACACCGGGACTAGGAAAATTGCATGCAACAGGCACAACATGGGAAAAAGAAGTGCGCAGACAGGAGAGGCTCGAGCTTGCACTTAGCTCTGGAGAGATGCAGCAGGTCCTGTTGCAGGTGGGTGGAGCACGGAGAACGACTGAGTCAGAGATGGTGGAGTTCAGTTAATTGGCCTGAAGAAGTGCATCTTTGCCCTGCGAAAGGGGCTCTCCCATACCAGATTCTCCTGAGCCTCACCCTGGAGGTGGGAGCTATTGTTTGCACTAGGCAGAGGAACCGCTTGACATGTAGCAAGGACTGATTCCTGAGGGATATATTTGTACTACTACAGGTTAAAATATATATTCTGATGCTTAAATGTATATATTTTGTTTTTGTTAAAAATAGTAGAACTAAAGAGCTACCATTAATTACAGAAAATGGTATCAAAACAGAATATTTCTGAAAATACTGAAACAGAACATAATAAAATATCATGGAAAAAAGCTAATAAATACTATTGTTAAAACTATTCTTAAAATCTGAGTAAGGGATCAAATATCCTCTAGAAAAATAGGCAAAAGACATGGACAGACAGTTCACAGAAATTAAAGGTATGGAATGGTCCTTTACGTTCTGAAATGATGTTCAGCCTCACTTAGAAAGGAAGTTGATAAATTAAAGCTTCACTAGATGCCATTTCTCATATATAGCAATAGCAAAAAACTGAAGTCTAATGCCACATTTGGTGAGTGAGGCTACAGGAAAGAGGTGAGACCCCCTTACAAACTGCTGGTGGTCGTGTTTACCAAGCCACATACATCACTGCCTCGAAGTTTACTTTGAGGTTTATTTCTCACAATATACTTACACAAGTGTAAATCACTGTAGTGTTGTTTGTAATCATAAAATACTGAAAACCAAAGGCCCATATGTAGGAAAGTGGTAAAGTAAAACATCCTATGCCCACACAATGGATATGACACAGTGATTTTTAAAATAAAGAATCTACAATCAACATGAAATCATTTCAGAACACATGAAATGATGAAAGCAAGGTGCAAAAAGAAAAAAAAATACAACCTACTCCGGTACACTACCAGCTCTAAGAATGAGGCAGCTTCTGGTGAACAGCACAGGGGAGAGAACCAGAGGAATGAGAGCGGCCCCCTCTGAGAGCTGGGGCTCATGGGCGAGTGACAGCAGGCTGGAGGATGAAAGAGGAGTCACCTTCCTAGAAGTTTGGACTTGTGTAGTAATGTCAATGGCTCACACACCCAGAGGAACAACAAAATCCTCAAAGCCAAAAACAGCAACCCCAAACCTGGAATAAAGGTGAACCAAGTTTCAAACAACATAACCACAGAAAAAAGGAGAGGTAACTTTTGAACAAGCTTTGGTGATAGTATCCTCAAGATAGAGACTAAACAAAACACTGAACTCTAGCCAAGGGTTTTGTTTTCTGCAGATGCAAGCTGTCAGTTTTGAAACACCTACAGCTATTCCATGATCAAGCAAATACATACATTTGGGAAGGAAGCCAGCACACTAGTGTAAGTCATGAATCCTGTGCGATCAGATGGATACATTTGGTAGCGCTTCCATTGAACACACAGAAACCATGACACCACTTGCCCAAAATCTAACACGGATGAGGCTCTATATTCCATTCCCAACATTAGAGGGAGAAGACAGCTGATCATTTTTTATACATAGCCATATAAAATACATTCTGAAGCTTATGTAGTGAACGCTATGGCTCGCTCCCCCAGAAACGCTGATGGGAATGAGAGCCACGCCACCAGGGGTGTGTCCAGTGTTCTTCAGATAGTGCGTGGGCTGAAAGCACCTTGCTCTCTTCACTTCATGTATTCTGAAATGATTTCATGTGGATCACAGAATCCTTATTTTAAAAATAGTGGTGTTCTATCCACCGTATGGTCCTGGCATGGTTTATTCGATCACTTTCCTGGATATGGGCCTTTTGGTTTTTAGTATTTTACAATTACACTACAATTCTAGAGTATCATTCGCCAATACAAAAAAGAACTTGGGCTGCTTGGGGAAATGGTGGATCACTGGGCTGGAAAAAACCAGATGAGCCTGGAATAGTTCCTTCCAAAAATCAAAGTGGTGGTGAAAGAATGAAGAGACTTGTTAAAAGGACATAGGAACCATGTTAAAGGGCCTCCCCCGCTAGTCAAACATGGGCAAACCGAGCACGAAAATGAAAAACTGAAGAATTATAATGCACAAAATAAAAGAAAAACCTCAGGATCCACACAGATAAGACCTTTCTTACAAGAGGGTCTTTTGCAGAAGGACAGAAAAACCACTATTTGTAGGCAACCATGTAGTAATAATGTGTCAGGAAAGAGTCATAAATAGATGCTAAAACAGAGCATCAGTTTAATGAGAAATAGGATAATTATATAATATGAAAATGCTTCCTTGTCTACGGCCATACCACCCTGAACGCGCCCGATCTCGTCTGATCTCGGAAGCTAAGCAGGGTCGGGCCTGGTTAGTACTTGGATGGGAGACCGCCTGGGAACACCGGGTGCTGTAGGCTTTAAAAAAAAAAAAAAAAAAGAAAGAAAATGCTTCCTTGAAAATACGGCGACTTTAAAGTGAAGCACCCTGAGAGACACCACCCTAACTAGTGATCAAAGTGCACATCAACCACAATGGGTCACAGAGGCTACACACACCTCCTGGTGTGACAAAAGAACACAGCATTGCTTTCACTGTATTCTTACCCGAAATCCACATGCAGAAACTAATTTGGAGAAATATTAGACAAACCCAACTCGAGAGCTGTATTACTGTATACTATAAAACACAGAAGGCTGAGGAAGGCTCCAGACTCTTTTTTTTCCTCTACCGGGGACCTTGCACAGTGCTACATCACCATTTTCACCCCCTTTTTAGAGGGCCTCAGGAAGTTGCTGAATCACTCTGGCTGGGTTCCAACTTTAATGCTCCTGCTTCAGCCTCCCACAGTGCTGGGGTTATAGGCATGGGCCACCACACCTGGGTATTCCAGCCTTAAAGAGACTAAGATCTCAGGATAACTGAAGGCAGTATGTGGCCTTGGGTTGGTTCCTGGACTCCACACCCCCAGCCAATGTTTTTTCCTTTCTGTTGTGTCAGTATCTGGAAAATAGCCAATTGAGGTAAGGCTCGTAGGCAGCAAGAATATAATAACAAAAGTATGTTCCAATGTGATTTCCACACAAAATTCTCTGGTGGCACTCTGGAACTTTGAGGATGAACTAGAGATCCCACTGATACCAGGCCACACCGAGTTTTACAGAGAAATGTAGGGGGGAAAAAAACCAAACAAATTAAAATCCTGTGGCACAAATGAGGCAGGGCTACCACATCTACCTCTGGGCTATCTTTCCCCTGTGGTGCAGGGAATAGAATACAGGGCCTTGTCCATGCTAGGCAAGCACTCTTGCACTAAACTACACTCACAACCCCTCAATCATCTTTGTATAATAAGATTAATTCTACTTAATATCAGTCAGTCACAAAATAATCTTCCTAGCAGCTCTTAGATTTTACCATTTTTCCATTAAAATGCAATGGGAGATGAAAGGGGAAAGGTGGGGGGCACGGGGAAAAGTAGCCTTTGGAAGGAAATAAGCTGGTAAATTACTTCAAGTTTTCAAAGCATTTTGTAATAACATGAGTTCTTCTGTAATAATTCTGATCTTTAAATTCTTATCTCTTTTTTTCATGACTCATTTGCTTTGCACGCATTCCTTCAGAGCTCATATGCTTTTGCATTTTAAATATTGAGTACATAAAAATAGCAATTTTGAATACATAACACCTCTGGAATATTTCCACTCATGGGCACTTAAATATAGAAACTTTTATTTGGAGAACTCACACTATGATTTGCTTCATGATTCTAAAAGCTCTGGGGTTTAGGATAAAGCGCTGGAAAAACAGGTAGCTCTGGGCTAATGCTAGCTTGCCCCCTAGTGGACAGCATTTGACATTTCATGAAGGTTGAGCCAATTCCTTGCTCTCTTGCTAATCTTTGAAGAAGGAACTCCCTTTACAGAAGAATACATGTGCATTACCTTTAGCTACTGAAGCAGAGGCTATGGCAGAGATGGCACAGGAAATCATCTCTTTAGGACACTACTGCTGAGTCAGTTACTGTCCCGCCCCCATGCCTCAGGTGCTGTGCACTTCGTGTGTTTTCAATTTCAGCAACCCTGCCACCTGCTAGTACTTTAACTGCAGCTTCAAACTTGTGAAATTGCCAGCGAACTCCACGTAATGCACTAATGTGCTTCATGAAGGTAGATCGAGACTATTTTGGCTATCAAGGGTATGATAATCAGTGCAGGATAATACGCCCACTTTGTGGGACCATTTGTAGGTCATTCTTTTATTATTTAGCATTCAGTGTCTATTAGAATTTTATCTCTTTAAAAAAAAACTTGTAATGTCTTGGAAATAAAACATAAATAGCTCTTTCAATAAAAAGGAAAAAATGGCAGAAATTGTGGGCCAGTGTGTCCCGTATGATCCACATTCCTTAGGGTTTCAATTAGGTCTTCCTTGGAAGAAAGTGTCACTTTTTTCTGGCTCACAACTGTTGGAGACCACCATGAAGCAGCTCTGAGCAGGATTTAAAATGAACTAATTGGCTTTCTGTGTTTATCTGTGAGTCTGTCCTAGGCCTTAGCCCCTTGCCTGGTGACGGGAGCCAATTCATAGCAAGTGAACCTCTATGAATCACTGGTCCTGGCTGAGGCCTGTAGTGGCCTGTAAGGCCAGAGATGCCTCAAAGGCAAGAAAAGGCCACAGCTGCAGACACTGGGCTCAAATATCAATTAAGTAGCTAGAGACTACAGCTGCAGAAATTACTCCCACAGTCTCACTTTTACCATGTCTCCATGATAAGACAGTTCTAATAAATTAACATGATTCATGACTTGGAGACATCTTTGAAGTGACTCCCAAGGTCCTGCTCATTGCCTGTGCTTTCCTCAGTTTGTTGGACCTAATAAATAAAGTGGGTGGTCTAGAGAAGTCTTTATCTTAGCCCTCGGAGTCTCAAGCTCAACTAAAAGAGTTTTGACGCACCTGAGCCCTAAAATCATATAGCTTGTCTCATTCTATTTCAATCTCTACCGTACACTCATTGGGAGGTCGGGGACCTAGGTCAGGACCTGATAACAACTACACATTTCTCGACATTTGTCAAAGCAGAGTCAGTATCAGCAAGGGACCTTTTCTCTGCAGAATCTGAGTATATCATGACAGCAGTTTACACATGACCCTGAGTCTTTCTTCTTGCTGTTGAAATTACATGTGACTTCGACTCGCCTCTGTTAGGTTAAGAGATGCTCAGATGAAAATTCTATGCAGACTGTCTTGTCACTCACAGGTTTGACAACAAATACCACAGTTAGTCTACAGCTTAAAGGATAACCAATGCAAAAATACATGAATGTGGAGAACAAAAGGAAAGCCGGGGGGAAATAGCTGATGATTCACACTCCATTTACATTCCAGAGAAAAAGGGCTTACTTATACTTCATATAATAATAATACTGAGAAGAGCTAATAAAAAATACACAAACCACACTAGTAAAACCTAACAGGTATTTTCACTCAGGTAAAGATATTTAAGAACACAGCACTTCATGACTTTGGGTTTTTGTGAGTGTGGTGGGGGAGGGTACTGGGAATTGAACTCACGATCTCACACTTGCCAGGCAGGTGCTGTGCCACTGAGCTGCATCCCAGCCCCACTTCATGACTTTTTAAAGGTAGGTATCAGAAATAATGTGTGTAACAGCAACTGTGAGAAAAACTGTCATAGAATGTTCAGAATACTTCACTTTGGACATTAGATTGAGGACTATAATGTGATCAAAAAATATGGTGAATACTTACATTTTAAAAAATTATTGTGGAAGACACAGTGTGATTAATTCCCTTTGAAATATTTCCTCTCACTTCAAACATATGGACTCCATTATTCTTGCTATTTTCTGAGACAGTTTGGAAATCCTCTTTATTGTCTTTTGTTGCAGTGTTGTGGTTGCCTCGATATTGATTCAAAATGTTTACCTGTCATGGACCCCTTGACTTTGGGGACCAACCAGAAGTTGCACAGTGCCAGATATGATAAAGCAGATGAGGAGGCGCCATGCTATTTGTACAAGTCCGTCTTTCTGTTGGACGGCACCTCACAGCAGCATTCATAGAATTTATCAGACCTCACAAAGACATAAAACTGCTTCAAAAATGGAGAGAACAATGGGACAGTGTGTTTGAAGGCAGGGGAAGTATTCTGAGGGAGATTAATGGCAATGTATCTTTTATTGTAATAGATCTTTTAAAAATTGAAACATTCACTGTATATTTTGAGCACATCTTATATTATAAAGCTTACTATGAGTTACTCCTTGGGAAGACAAAAAGAGGTTAACGTCTGCATACCAAAAGACAGCGAAAATTGAAAAGCACAGCCTACAGCTGCCACCAGGAGTATAACTGTTTTCTGATTTGCCTTTTGGGAATTTGGATACCAGGTAAGGTTCTCCAAAGAATCGTTTCCTAGGAGACTTAGCTCCCAAGAAAGAGGTATGAGACTTCTTTAACTTGAAAAGACAGAACGTACATACTGCTTTACAACTGTGGGCAATCAGACTCGCAGTCTTCTTGAAGGTCTTTTCCAGGTAGTGGGCGAATCGCTCACTCTCATCTTCTTTGGATCCCAGTTGAAGAAACTCACCTATAAAGAAGGAAAGGAGTCACTTGTGATGTGGCTTTGTTGTATGGCTAAATACAAGGACTAAATTAAAGGAAAGGAAAAAGAGAAAAGTCAAGTCGGAATCAACCTACCACGCACCAAATCTTCAATAACTTGGGTTAAAATAGATATAACAGTAGTGTTTCCAATCCGTGCCAGAGCTATTGATGCTGCAGAAAGAATTAAATCTCCAGCAAGAACAGCCTAAAAACAAACAAAGAAAAAAACCCTTTCAGATAAAAAGATCAGAGCAACAAACCAGCGATGAAGCTGACTTGTCAGAAGATAAAATACAGAATAGCAAGAAGTACCATTTCAGCTGTGCGATCCCTTTCCCCTTCTCCTGCGGGATTACAGAATTGACAAGATGTGGGCTGCTGTCTGGGCGGAGGGGAGCCATCTGTTCCCCAGCTCGGTGGGCAGGCAGCTCACTCTGGCTGTTGCCTTCCCCTTGTTCGACACCGCCAAAAGGTGGCTGCCTTCGTTCAGCTGCACAGGACCATCCGCCTTCCCTCAAACTTATCACTGTGCCTTTCCACTCGCTGTTTCTTATGCTTGAAAAATCCTTTCCAGGCTGGGTCAGAGCTCAGCAATAGAAAGCTTACATGTGTGAGGCATGCTGGATTTCATTCTCAACCCCAGAACAAGTCTGCCTCTGCACTTCAGAGACTCAGTTCAGATAACGAGTTTTGATACCAACACCAGGAAGCCTCCCTGATCCGGCAGCCTGAGCAGACGCATTCCTCTGAGTGGGCACACTACTGCTGTTAATGCTTTGTGTTCCACTCAGTGATACGGCTGTTCACTCTCCTGAAAGCAAGAACTGGATCACTCCCAGTAAGTACTGGTACATCCCACTTTGCACTGGAACATGTGGTTTTTTCAATGAAAAATTAAACTAAGAAAATTTTGATTCAAGGTCAATACTATTCGTGCTCTTACCCTTTTTGGGGCAATGATAGGGATCCAAACAAGGGCTTCCCACCTGTCATCCACGTATTCTACCACTGAGCCACAGACCCAGCAGAACAAAATATCTTTTTCACTAATCATTAGATTGTGAGATATCTCAAATGTATTAGCAAATAATTATAAATTACATAGTTGAATTATATGCTGTAATCAAATACCATATATGTATGCATCCATATTAATTTGCATATTTAAAAATTAAAGGTAGAGTTCATAGATATTCTAATTAACATACCATTTTAGGTATTTGTTTCTAAAATAACAATGTCCAGTTCATATTTATCAATTAATCATTTTTTATAAAATATACATTACATAAGGTAGCTCCACATAAATATTCACTTGTAAACTCATTTTATACCTACAATATACAGGTGCATACTTATTTCCATCCATCTGCTTCTTACATCACTGGCAGCTCAAAGCCTGAGGTTCTTGGGGCTTTACAGTTCTTCTCCCACCCTCAGACTCCTTGAAGCCAAAGGGTTTTCACAGAGGAAACCAGAGCCACAGACTACAAGGCTGGATGTGAAGGGTTAAGACAGCAGCAGCTGGGAACCGCAGGCCAGTAGTAACAAGAGCTCCCGAAGAGGCTGTCCTGTGAGTGCACTTGTGCAGCAGTAACATAGCAATTGTGCTGCAGAGGCAGGAGAAGGGGAGGCGTCTGGCACTCACTTGTGCTAAACAGACTGCGGAGCTGAGAGGCAGGTGATGCAGGTGATACTGCTTTTCACCTGTGCTCAGAAAGAGGCCCCGGCAGCACAGGAGGATACACAAAAGCCCTGGTTATGACCACACTTTCTCTCCAATGCATTTCCTCTGCTTAGGGGCTCAGATTAAAGCTTCAGCATTGACATAGGTGGCATAGGTGATGGCATCAGAGTCCTAATGTTGCCCATTTTCACTCCAAACTTTTTGCTAGCATTCTGATACACAGGATTTTGTCAAGTGAACATAAATCTTTTTGAGTTTTGAAATAAACACATGTAAAATTGGAGGACTCCATTTCACAACAAAGTCACTGACAATAGAGCAAAAGTAGTATGTGACGATAAAGGCAAGCAGGAAGGAAGGTTTGGGTCGTGTTTCTACTCCGTCAAAGCCTCGTGTGCTCATAGGCAGGGCCTTTTGGACGTGGCAGGATCCAGGGTGCGATGCTGGGAGTGATTTATGGTGCACTGCTTGGCCATGGCTGACTGGCCATGGGTGTGAGTGGCGAGCCCCACCCCACCTGAGGGTGGGGATCCTGGAGAGGAGGACAGAAAAGGACAGAAACAGGGCCCCTGCTTGTCACTGCTGCTATTTGTCTTCTGCTGCCTCTTGCATCCTCTGTGACACCTGTCTTGCCCAGCCACTTTGCCTTGAAGCCAGCTGATTATGAGCTGAAAATCTTTACAAAATAAACCTTTTTTCTTTTAATATTAGGTGTTGGATATTTCCTCTCAGAAGTGAGAAAAGTAACTAAGATGCAGGTACTTAAACACGTGGGAGTAGAAGGTGAGATGGCTGATCTGTGTATGTATATTTTCTTGGCTCTTTGCCTGGGCAGATGGCAAGTGAATGCAGGTGTGGAATGGATGCCAGCTCTCAAAGGGTCTGTGCCTTTTTCATTTGGTCCACTTGTGCCACTTTTTGTGCCATTCTTTGTCTCATGATTTATATTTCTTCAAAGAAATATCTTTATTTTGGACCAGGAATATAGCTCAGGGGTATAGCAACTACCTGGCAAGCCTCAGACCCTGAGTTTGATTCCTGGTATCAAAACAAAAACAAAAAAGTCCCTGTTTTGCATACTTCCTTCTAGGAATTCTAATATGGAAACATACCATAGTTTTCTACTTAAAAAGGTAAAATTTTCATGGTTAGACAGTATCTCTCTGAGATTATTTCTCTTTTCCCCTTTTTTCTTAAGTGTTGTCTTTACACTCTTTTACTAGGCAAGCAGTCAGTAAATATTTAGGGAATTAAATCCAATCTGGGTAACTTTAGCCCAAAAGTAGAACATATAATTACTCATAAGACTCTATTTCTGGAAGCCCAGGAAATTCCTTTTTTGGGGGGAGGGGAGTACCAGAAATTGAACTCAGGACCTCGCACTGCTAAGCTATATCTGAAATTCCTTTCCTTATGACCAAAAAAAAGTTCTATAAGAAATGATGAATAACCAGAAATACTAACTTTATTATTTTTCTACTGTAATTTATCTTGTCTATCAGATGCTATATACAGAGACAACATACTTTTTAAAAAATTTGGATGACACTAGTTGAGCAAGTACATTTTACTTTGTAATGAGTCAAATACGAAAAACAAATACAATAAAGTAAGTCCCTGAATTAGGAGTACTGAAGTTACAAACCTGCTCAGGTGCCAACACACGTCACATTACGGACATTCAAAGGCATGAGCAAAACACGGCAGAATCTCACCTGTGTGCTGGATTTCATCACAACTGTGCTTCTATGTGCTCACTGTACAGGGACTGTATTTGTGTGTGGTTTTTTCTTTTTTTATGTTTACAGTGTATATCTGTCTCAAAGACTCACTTCATCAGACTCACAAATGAATCCAGTTTACGAGTGTCCTCTCTGAAAGGATCTCATTCTTAAGTCAGGACTTTGTGCACGAAAAACATGTGATTTGGGAAGATTTTTAAAACACCCTAAAGAAGAAAAACAACAACTGTACCTTCTTTTCACCCCAGATCTTGTTAACTGTGTGTTTTCCTCTTCGAGAACTTGCATCATCGATGACGTCATCATGAACCAGGGTAGCAGTATGGATCATTTCTGCAATTAAGGCTATGGAACGCTGGCTGGCATGCACGTTTCTAGTGAACAGAAAGCAACACTTTTAACAGAGATGTGGCTATAGTTTTCTATGCACTCATCTTGTGAAAACTGGACATCGGATCTAGAAGGAAGAATTTTATTTCTCTAAAAGAAATTGCATCAAAACTTTGACTTCCCTACAGAGCAATTTCTATCACTTGAAAAACATTTTTAAAACACACAAGAGACTCTAACAAATATTTAGGGACTTCACATTAAGAAGCAGAATTGCAGTTAATGATAAAAGGCAAAGCATCAGGCATCAGGACACAGGGCTAAAAAGTCATCGTCATGTCTTATAGTACTGGCCTTGACCAGGATTACAGGTTCATAATCAGGTTATAATTAAATTTCAGGGTAGCATGGTGGAGAGACATGAGAAATAGTTTAAAAAGATCTTTCACTATGCTGCAAGGTTTCAACTGTTTCAAATATTTAATATGACACTAATAAAATAGAACAATTGAACTTCCTTCAACTCATATTCAACCTTTGTATTACGAATCTATAGTTTTATTTCCCAATTCTCACACAAATTACAGGATAGCCACAGTTTCTTTTTGTTTTTTTGTTTTTTTTTTTTTTTTTGGTCTTTTTCCTTTTTATCGGTACCAGGGATCGAACTCACGACTGCCTGCCTGCAAGGCAGGCGCTTATGCCACTGAGCTAAATCCCCAGCCCCTCTTTTTCTTTTTTAAAGCGATGGAACTCTCACTCTGTTGCCCAGGCTAGCCACAAACTCCTGGGCCCAAGTAACCTTCCTTGGTCTCCTGCGTAGCTGGGACTACCAATGTGCATTACCACACCTGGTTCCCAGCTGGCTAGCTTCGCTTTGCTTCGCTTCGTTCTCCCCTCCCCTCCCCTCCTTTTCCCTCCCTTCTCCTCTCCTCCCTTTTCTTTCTTTCTTTCCAGCCTCAGCTTGTTTCTAATTAGACTCATTACCACTATCATCATGTATGAGAAATTTGAAAGTCTGAGTTCAATAAAACCAAACCAGAAAAATACCCAACTAAGTTTTCTAACCCTAAGACAAGTGCCTAGCTTATATACAAACCAAACGTTTGAGTTATTCTTTTTTTTAAAGCCAGTCAAATTTAGCAGGGGGGGGGTGGTATACCAACTTTAGTGACACTAATGTTAGTAAGTTCTGATAACCCACTGCCATCGGACCAGCCATATTTGAGTTATTCTAATTGCATCATTTTCAAATATCATCCAGTTACATCTTGAAAAGAAAGGGAGAGATATAGTGAGAGGATTTTTTCCTTGAAAATCTAATCTCAACATCTGCATAAAAGGAGTGCTCATTTGAACTCCTCAAATGGAGCAGAAAGTAATGAAAAATGATACGCAACTACATGTAAGATACATGAACTTCTGATCTTGCTTTACTTAGAATTTTAAAGTGTAGGATCTCGCTGTGTGTTCTTACCTCAGGCCTTAAAACTAAACGTCAGAACTTTCAAACTTTTTTCAGCCAGGAAATCACTTACAAAGTACTGTTTATTATTTATCCATGTTTCACAATAACAATTTCTAATACTTTCAGATTCTACCAAGGAAGAAGGAGAGCAAAACCAATGGAGGACAGAGACAAATCTACTAAAATCACTTCAGGGGGTAAGGGGTTGTGTGCTTAGCATTAATGCAGCTCTAGGTTCAGTTCCTAGCACCAAAACAAAACAAACAAACAAACAAAAAAACACCCCCCAAAAAACTGAAAAACAAAACAAAAAATCCCTCAATAACAAACTACTTTAATAAATGAGAAAACAGAGGTTTCAATAGCTTTTAGCTGTGTGCTGAGTCCTTCAGAGGGGCCTTCCAGCTTTGTATTAAGTAAGCTTCCACATTTCTTAGGTAAATTTACTAAGCCCTATCTTTGAGTTGAATGTACAGGAAAAGGTAGACTTTTGCATTTGATTTTTAAATATAAAGGCTATTTTTCAGTATATTTTTTCAATTGAATTTCAGTCTAATTAAATATACACTTCTTACTAACTAGTATTTGGTAACTAGTAGCAGAACTTGTCTTAAAAAAAAAAGTGATGTTAGTAGGCAGGTGTGCAAGCCAGGAGATTGCAGTGAACTGGCAGCTAGAAGATTATTTTGGTTTTATTTATAATTTGACAGTATTTGAAATTTCAAAGACTATATGTGTGTATATTAAAATGTTATTTTCCATGTCTAAACTACTCACTGATGAAGTCAGGACTCTTGTCTAGAAGGTTATTTGGCACTGTGACACAATATCTAGACAGATTACGTAACCAGATTTAACATGCAGATAGCTTTATCTGATGCAATTTTATAGCTTTAATGTATGTCAGCTCTGGAAAATGCTGCCACTGTTTATCTTTAATGCAGCATCACAGTGGTACAGAAATTCAGAAAATGGTCACAACCATCTTTAAGATGAAATCATTAAAGTGCTAAACTGAGTCATACCTTACAGAAGCTGGGCATCATTCCTACTTCCTACTGTGAAATCACTGCCATACTTTCTCAGCTCCCAGGAGAGGTGACAGTCAGGCAGTCTGAGAAAAAGAGGCTCTTGGTCTTAATAGATGGCCACAGCTGGGTGTGGCAGCACCCAGCTGTAATTCCAGCACTCTGGGAGGCAGAGGCAGAAAGATTGCCAAATTCAAACCTAGGCTATGGAACCTACAACTCAGTAAGACTTTGCCTCAAACAAACAAATAGGCTGGGGACATAGCTCAGCATGAAGGCCCTGCATTCCATTCCCAGTCCTGTAAAAAAAAACAAAACAGATTTTTTGACATAAAGCCTGCAATATAGGAGCCCAGGAAGGTGGAGGCTACTGATGAATAGATGCTTGCGCATTTCGCTGGTGGATTCCAGCTTGGACTCAGTGGAAGAGCGTCTCTGCAGGGCTGTGGATGTGGGCTGTGCTCCTTCAGCCTCTACCATGCCAGGAGGTGGTGGTTTCTCTGTGCAAAGAAAAGAAATCAGCTTCTTCCCTTTCACTCCCTGTGCTGGATTTGAAAACAATGCTTCACTGTCCCAGAGCCCCTGGCCCCGGGGCCCTGAAAAGCAGGCCTGGCACAGACCTGGACAGGCTGAAGACCTAGATGTTCCATGGGGGCCACGTGCCACACATCCCCAAATTCAGAAGCTGCTCTAGCATTTCTTTGGCAGTAAGAAAATAAACAATAGTGTGAAGCCTAAATCATACACAGTGCAACTTCACAGGCATCCATTTATCTGTAGATAAATCTAAAAACTATTCAGGAGTTACTGTTTCTGGATATCAGTTCCTTTCCTTTGATACAAAAGCTGCTGTTGAATCTGAGTCTTGAAAGAACTGCCCTATCCACAAGAAGGAAAGGCTATATTCTGAGCCCGATGCCGATTTACGTTTATGAAGAATGGGCATCAATCAAGAATAATGGCCCCATTTCACCCAATTAGGAATGAAAAGGGTAAAATCACAACAGACCCTGCAGAAATCCAGAAAATCATCTATACCTACTTTGAAAACTTGTATTTTAGTGAGATGAAAAATACAGAAGAAATGAACAGATTCCTAGATACATATGAATTACCAAAGCTGAATCAAGTATAAAAATCCTAAATAAACCAATATCAATCAATGAAATTAAAAATGTAATTGAAAACCTACCAACAAAGGAAAGTCCAGTTCCTGACGGATTCACTAATGAACTCTACAAGAAATCTAGAAGACTTAACACCTCTACTTTTCAAATTTTAACAAAATTGAAAGGGAAGCAACACCTTCAAATTCATTCTTAGAAGCAAGCATTACTCTGATTCCAAAATCACAGAAGGACCCAACTAAGAAAGAGAATTATAGGCCAGTCTCCCTAATGAGCATTGATCCAAAAATCCTCAATAAGATACTGGCAAACAGACTGCAGCAAATTATCAAGAAGATTATACACTATGATCAAGTGGGATTCAACCCATGGATGCATGGGTGACTCAATGTACGTAAATCCACAGATGTAATATACCATACTAACACAGCCACGGACAAAAATCTTATGATCATCTCAATAGATGCAGAAAAAGCTTTTGACAAAGTCTGGCACTCATTCATGATAAAAGCCCTACAAAAAATTGGAATACATGGTATTTATCTCAATCTGATAAAAGCCATCTATGACAAACGAACAGCCAACATCATATTAAATGGACAAAAACTGAAAGCTTTCTCTCTAAAATCAGGAATAAGACTAGGACGTCCAGTGTCTCTACTCTTACTCAACATAATCCTGGAAACTTTAGCCAGAGCAATTAGACAAGAGAAAGAAATAAAAGGAATAAAGATAGGAAAGGGAGAAGTCAAACTATTGTTATTTGCAGATGACATGATACTCTACATAGAGGACCACAAACACTCCACTAAAAGACTACTAGATCTAATTAGCAAATTCAGTAATGTACCTGGTTACAAAGGCAATACTCAAAAATCAATAGCCTTCCTGTACACAACAAACTCACTAAAGAGAGAAATCAGGGAAACAACACCTTTTGTAATATCATCCCCCCAAAATGAAATACCCAGGAATCAATCTAACAAAGGATGAAAAAGACCTCTACATTGAAATTATAATACTCTGAAAAAGGAGACTGAAGATAATATTAGAAAATGGAGAGATATTCTGTGCTCTTGAGTAGGAAGAACCAATATAGTGAAAATGGCCATACTTCCAAAACTGTTACACAGATTCCATGCAACCCCAATAAAATACCAATAGCACATCCACAGAATTGGAGAAAATGATCCTAAAGTTCATGTGGAACCACAAGAGACCTAGAATAACAAAGGCAACCCTGGAAAACAAAGACAAGACAGAGGGCATCACAATCTCTGACTTGAAATACTACTACAAAACTACTGTGATAAAAACAGGGTGATACTGGCAAAAAAAACCAGACCCAAAGATCAATGGAACAGATTACAAGATACAGAAACAACTACAGATACACTAAGCCACCTAATCTTTGACAAAGATGCTAAACACATTCAATTGTTGCCCCCTGACTGATTATTTTTGAAATTTTGCTTTAGGTTTTTTCTTTTTTTTTTTCCCTTGAAATAAAATGAAGAAGAAGAAGAAGAAAGAAGAAAGAAGAAGAAGGAGAAGAAGGAGAAGAAGGAGAAGAAGGAGAAGAAGGAGAAGGAGAAGAAGAAGAAGGAGAAGAAGAAGAAGGAGAAGAAGAAGAAGAAGAAAAAGAAGAAGAAGAAGCAGAATGGCCCAGAATGTGTACTTACCAGTGTCCCTCCTGCACTGTGAGCCACTGCACCACAAGTACTTGATGCCAAGCGCATCCTCCCACATTGAAGGTTTACTTGTGATTTATTTTGGGCATCACACTATACAGTACTAGGAAGAAAATGGTTTTTTAAAGTCATACAGAAGCTGGACATGTAGCAAACAGCTACAGTACCAGTATTCAAGAGGCTGAGGCAGGGGGATCACTTGAGGCCAGGAGTTCAAAGCCTAGGCAACACTGTAGTAGTTGGCTCAATGATTTGGAATATACAGAAACCACCAAGAGTTTGAAAACTGTGAACAGCCTGATCCTGGTCATCATTTACCTGAGCTGGTGCTGTCTTGTAATGGATGTTTGGTTACAGTCTTCCCAGCGCCTGGCCTTTGTAACTGCCTTTGTTTTTTACAACAACTATTAAATGTTACTTCCTCTGAATATAAGCTTTTTATCATACCTGGGACTCTGACCTGTAAACTAACGTGAAAACTGCATCTTACAATGTGACCATCTAATCACCTAGCCCAGCTTTGGTAAGTGTACCAGCGAGCTCCTGTGTCACTCAACCTCAGCACACAGAGTTCTGTGCACACTATAACCTAGGCAACCCTATTATCTTGGTTGCTGGCAAAGGAACCCACTTCCCAGGGCCGGAAGTTTTATGCAAGAATGAGTCCACATTAGGTTCAGCAATTGCAGTGGGCTGCTGACAGGACAGACGGGAGAGAAATGCTGTATATTTCAGTGAGTAGAGTAATTGTATAGAAATCTATTTATCAGAAAACCCCCCAGCCCCATGAAGTGTGCACATGTTGACTAGGCTGGTCTCAAACTCCAGATACAGCCTTTTTTGATCTGAATCATTGATAATATTACTTCTGACCTATAGTTAACTTTGAATTTTGCTGAACTCTATTGCAAGTTAGATTCTCCAGAAAGTAGACTCTGAAATGCAGTCTAAGGCACAGGATGTTCACTGAGGTGTGCTCTTGGGATCCACTCCCCAACAGCAGAAATGCAGAGTGACACAGACGCAGCAAGAGGCCACCCAGGACACTATCAGACCTGGACACGGGCACGGCTGGGAAGAGGCACTCCTCACTGGGGTGAGTCCTCTGGGAAGGGGGTTCTAGGAGTCTGTCTCAGAATCCACAAGTCTGTTTCCAGGACACTTCAAGCCTCGGCTGTCCTTGTATGTATCCCTAGCACTTGGCTTGCTCAGAGATAGCAACTATCAGAATATAAAGAGAGAACATACAGACTGAGGCTTAAGCCTTTGGCCAAATTACTCTTTGAGAGTAGATTGTAAGCCATACCCTTCCCTAGAAAGATGCAAATACATAAAAATTTTGCATATAATTTCAAAGACCCTCCTCCCTCTATAACTTCCATAGGCTTTAGGTTAGAATGCCCAGTTGTTTAACAGAGAATATTTAAGGCTCAATTGAAAAACTTCTACAAGAAAAATAGAAAAATCAATAAAAAGTTTTCTCCTCTTTTGCCATTAAGATATTTGTTCTACTCTGTTTTCTAAAATCATTTCCATATTAAGTTACAAGTATTTAATACACATCTTGGAAGATAGAAGACAAGGTTTAATGAACCTCTCAAGAGTCAGCTTTATTATAGGACACAGAAGGAGCAGGCATGTGAGATACAAAAACATGTCTGGGCCCACTGGGGTGAAAAGGTATTCTGAGGAGCCGGACTCAGACACAGCACTATGTGGTCCTGCTCTGGAGCCTTTAGTCTATTCAGTATTCCAAGCCCTGCTTGGCAGGTAAAATCGCAAACAGCCCAGCTGTTTAGCAGCTCATCACCCCTTCCTGTGATAAGTGGCATGGAGGTTGCAGTTAGACACTGAGTTCATTAGGGCCTTATGTGACAGTGTCCTTGAGAAGCAAGTGCTCTCAGCAAGGCAGGGCCTGCACCCATGGACATCTGGCAATATCCAGGGAGTCCTTAAGTTGCTATCAACTAGGGGCCAATAGTGGGTAGAACCCAGAGGTGCAAAGCCTTCTACCATGCATAAAACAATTCCCTACCATCCACAGAGAGATCTGGCTCCAAACATCAGGAGTGTAAGGCTTAGGAGCTGCTCTAGAATATAGGAAGTAGACTTCAAGCTTGGCGCACACATTCTGTGCTCTGACTTCCAGGCGCAGTGACCATGAGGTGGACAATAGCTATCTGGCCGAAGATTTCACAGCACACCTGACATACACTGCGAGGCTGCTGAAAAGCTGCAGTTGAGAAGGCAGCCCTGAGCACGGGGTGATGTGCTGGACAAGCAGGCACAGCCGCAGGGCACCACGGCTGTGGGCACAGGGACTCAGAAACAACACTGAGACTGTCCTTACAGCGTCATCATTTCATTCAGTGCTAACAAATCTTAGTACTCCTTCAAAGTTCTACTGAGGAAAAAAAAATACACAAACATTCTGAAAGGGAAAACTGTACTAGAAAACCTGCTCTTTTTAAAACTTTGTTTTCTTTGAAGCTGCCTAGTTCTGGAACTGTTTCATGGGTCTGTAATTGCTTTCTTGACCCCCTGTAACCACAAGAGCATAACTGAACATACAGGATACCTGACAGTAACTGACGGTCATTATTCTAGTCTTTTAACCGATGAGCTCACCCTGCTAACTAACCAGAAGGACTCTGGCAGGCTGTCCTGTCCCACTCCGTAACCCCAGCTCATGCCTCATATAAAAATGCTGGCTCACAGACACTAGCAGCCTCACTTTTGCTGGAAGTCGTTCCGGTCAGGACCACTGGTGTAAAATAAAGATGTGCAAGAACATGGCGGATAGATAGTAGCAGCCTCGGAGGCTCTCTGAGAAACCGCACTTGAAATCCAGGAATCGTGCCGGGCAGGAAATCCTAGGCAAGGGGGGATATTTGCCAACCCAGGAACGAACTAAATTAAAATAAAGCTGTGCACCACCTCCTGACTCCCTCAGGTGTCATTCCTTCCCAGAATCCAGTTTTGCTACAACAATTCAACAGTAGGTTAACATCACACTCCACTGGAATTTCATAATTACACGATTTAATTAAGAAAATATTTTGGCAATGGGGAAGAGTTTTTAAAATAATGGTAAGCAAACCAAGCAGAATAGAGAAGTATATAACCATCTACTGAATGGCTGAATCCAAGCATGGAGAGGAAGACATGTGAAGAAGAGGGTTGTGTGTGGCAAAGGGAAGACCCCTTTTCCTTTTAAGATTTCATTTAGTGGTAAAAGTGCAGTTGCTTTAACTTTACAGATACTCAAAATATTCAATATGTGGAGTCCAAATGAGTTCTCTAAGCTATGATTCTGAAGGTCACTGGAAGGCAGGCAACCCAGGGTGTGGGCACTCACTGCCCAAGGGTATAGGTCAATTTCAGAATAATCAACCTTTGGATAAGTGTATAATTATTAAAAGTATATTCATACATCCTGTAATTACTTCCTAAAGAGAAAATTAATTTGGTGTTAAGGTTTTTTGTTTCCTAACATGTTTTTTTGCAACTGAAGTCATTTACCAAAAGCCTACAGACCAGAATTCATAGTGGTGTTAGTAACTCAAAGTCAGAATTTACACATAGTAAAGTGAATTCTTAGATGCCGTTTCTTAAGGGGGAAACAAACCAGTAATCTTGGAAAGGAAGACTTTCTAAATATAGAAAGCCAACAGAGCTAGACACACCCCTGTAAACCTTGACTGCTTGGAAGGCTGTGGCAGAAGACTGAAAGCTGGGCAACTTGGTGAGATTTTTGTCTCAAAATAAAATTTAAAAAGGGCTGGAGATACAGCTCTGCCTGGGCTTGTTCAGTACCACCAGATGGACAGGGCATATGAAAATTAGCCACTCACCGGGAGTTATTATGATGAATGTTACATGCTCGGGCCATTAGCACCACAATAATTGGTCGAAAGGCTTTTCCTTTTCCATCAAAGTAGTACTCAGACATTTCCTTAAGTTCCGTTGTAGATATGAGCAATTCCTAAAACAAAGTTCAATGAGACCATCCTAAGCACACAAATGCAGTAGGATATATTTTGCAAAACTTTAATTTCAAAGTGTCCATTTCAATTAAGAAATCAAACACTGCTGGGGATTTAGCTCAGTGGCATAAGTGCCTGCCTGGCAAACGCAAGGCTGAGTTCAATCCTCAGTACCAAAAAAAAAAAAAAGAAAAGAAAAGAAAAAGAAATCCAGCACTAAGTTGGACAAGGCTCCAGGATCATCTGGCCACAAAGCTGGCTGCCATGGAGGCTACACAAACAATGCCTGGCTACCCTGTCCCCAAGTCCTCCGTGCTAGACCAGGTACTGCTACCTGCCCCAGAGACAGTGGTTCAGTGCCCAGCACTGTGATAAAGACAACAGTCATAAAGATGAGGAAAACAGGCTTTGCTACAGGAAGCCCAGGGTCTGTGTGTTGAGGTGAACCAGTAACTGCCGTTCACACAACACTGAATGATGGGGTCCTGTCACTGAGGCAAGCGCAGGACCCTGGGAGCACAGAGGCAAGGGCCTGACCTGGAACAGGTGTCGGAAGGCAAGACACAGAATAGAAGAACATGGCACAGAAGGACAACCTGAGCACATTTCTGCGTAGCACCTTTAATGATCAGGGTCACACACTTTTTTGTAGTGGTAAAAAAAAAAAAAAAGAGTTGCAGACATAAAACCACATAGTCACAGACATTTCACTGAGTTGTGAGGAAGCAGTTACCTATGCAGTGCAGAGGAGACAATCCAAAGTAGAGGTGTACTGTTTAAGAGTCCTAGGTATGGAAAGAGATACACAGAGGGTACAGAGAGAGGAGGGAGCCCACAGAATCCCAGGCAATAGCAAAATTAAAGGGTGTGGGTGGGCTGGAGGAGATAAAAGAGCAACCCATGAGTAAACTCAGAAAGAGCCTGAGGATTAGATACATAAGAAAGTATGAAAATCAGGGAAAGGGAGGGGTTTTTGTTTCATTTTTATGGGTAGGAGAGGAATGTGTCACTGCTCAAAATAGAGCATCCACTGTTCAAAAAAGGTCAAAGACGAACAAAAAACTGGATTTAATAGCTGAAAGCCAATGGTGCAATGGGCAGAAGTCGTCTCAGAGGTGGAAAAAGAAGCCATTATGACAATGCTGGAATGAATGTGAAAGGGAAAGAGTGAGCCAGAGGTTACAGGACACTGTATTGTGATGGAAGGCCAGTGTGGGGCTTCAACAAATCGGGAAGATGTAGGTGGTGTGGTGTACATCTATAATCTCAGTCACTCTAAAGCTGAGGCAGTGGATCTCAAGTTTGAGGTCAGCCTGGCCAAGGTAGCAAGATTTTATCTGAAAAATAAAATAGGACTGGGGGTACAGCTCAGTACTAAGGAGATGAACTCCACCCCAGAAAAGGAAAGAACAGGAGGAAAAAAGGAAGGGACAGATGAACTGAAGTATCTCAAATGAGTAACAGACACTTTCAGGAGAGTCGGCAGATATGTGAGAGGAGCAGGTGGTTCCTGAGGAGCCGAACTGTAGAGGTGGCCAAGGGGATGGGACTTCACAGAGGCAGGGGGACACTTTAGGAAGGGAGGACCCTCATCTCACATAAATGGGGCTGGCAGCAGAGAAAGCACCACAGAGCAGGAGCTGAGGGAGCCTCCTCTGTGGCCTCTGGGAGGTCGTTAAATAGAGACTGGGGCCTGCACCCACGTACTGGCCTGTCTGTGTGAGGCCGACTTCCAGCCTCAGCACAGCAAAAAGTCTGTGAAAGCTTGTGGCTGGGGCTGGAGAGAAAGTGGAGAACTATGCATAAGAGAGGAAAGAAGCATGTGAACATTTCTGGTCAAGACTATATTTACATTTATTTTTAATGTTTCTGCTGTGTACCTTGTTTCAGTGACAGCAGCCCACGTAGAGAGGCCAGGCAATGGTTCAGGGTCACAACTTGCTCTGGCATGGGAGATTATGAGAGGCCTACGGGGACAGGCCTGCCATAAATCCAAACCCATACATGTAAGATTGCGAACCAATAAACATTTCTGATAAAAAGAGGCAAATAAGACAGTCATTGGGGAGCAGTTTAACTGTGACACCCAGAGTCAGATAGTTGCAGGCGTCACAGGAAGGTGCTGGAACTGACGAGGAAAGGTTAGGTATCTCACTGTTCCCTGATTCGGCAATCGCCGTGTTCTATACAGTAAGGTGTTGAGTCCTCCACACTGCACAGCACCAGCTCGCACACACTGTTGCTTTTTAAAAACATTCAAACCCTGAGGTTTTGCAAAGCAGCTGTATAAGGGGACTGTATCTGTCTGAAAACTTGCACTACTTTTTTCCTAATTCTACAATGTTACTCCATTTCAGGAACTAAGACATAATATCACAGCAGAATCAGACGTACCTTCTTAATATCTTCATATAGATCTTTCAAGTCTCTCCAACCCAGTTTAAAAGGATCAGTATATTGTTCACCACTTTGTATTTTACTACGACAGCACACCCCTGGGGTTGTGTGATGAAACCTGAGATGATTGAAAGACGAAAATGAGAAAAGAAGAAAATCAGAAACAAAGCTTTTGTAAATGGGGAGGGGAATAAGGGGTGAAGGGAGGGTAAGTGAATGGGAAAAAAACCAAGTTACATCACAAACAGGTACAAATTCTCAATGATGAATGTGATCATTATGTGCATCTAAAATGTACCAGTAACATCTGATTGAAAAAAGGTAAATTAAGTGAAAAAAAATGCACACAACTCCACTTTTAAAGAAGTATGACACACACACACACACACACACACACACACACACACACGCACATGCGCACGCACACACAGTGGAGTTGGATGATGAAAATTAAGCCCTAACACTTGCTGGAAATTAAACATGAATCAGAAAAAGTCTTTATAATTTAGAAAAACACAAAGAATTTTGTTCCTGCTAAATGATAATTAACAGGTCATTTTTATAAATGACTTCGAGAAGAAGACCTTATCAGAGCAACACTAAATTATGTTCATTGTGATCTGAGGTGAATTTGAACTATTAAACTCCTATATTTTGAAAAGCACTTATTTCAACATGTTACATGTGTTGGCATAGCCCATCACAATTAAAAACAGAAATTGTGGCAACACAATTAATATTTTCAGCAGTTTCAATACAGATTGTAAACTTACCGTGATAACTCATACACATTTTGAAAGGCAGATGTTATGCTCTTCACAAGATTAAAATATGACATCTACAAAATGAAAGTATCAACAAACTTGTGAGAATATTCTTGAAAAAGTTGTTCATAACACTGGACAATTAAAACCCTTGTAATTCATAATAAACACATTTTTTTATCACCCATTTACAAGTATGCTGCAAACTTTAGAAAAAATAATATAAAACTTTCTTTTCTTATTGTGAAAGCAATATGTTTCACTACAGAAAACATAAATAAGAAAAAAGACTTTGTAGACCATCCCTGGTCCAACAAAAGCCAGCTTTCATAATCATTTCTATCCTTCCAGCCACGCAAAGCAGTTTAAAACAATGTCCTCCCACTTAACTACAATAGGTCAGACAGTAAAGGCTGGTGTATTCACTTATAACTCTTTAAACAATTAAGATCCCAGTGGGGTGTGGTGACAGAAACCTGTACGCTGAGCACACTGGGAGGCTGAGGCAGGAGACTGCAGAGCGGAACCTAGGCAATCTGGTGACTTAGCAAGAGCTTGTCTCACAACAAAAAACAAAAAAGGGCAGGGATGTGTAGGGGGTGCGGTGGGGTGAGAAAGTATCAAAAAGTGGGTGACATTTCAACATTAACCAAGAAATTTATATTTACACAAATAAGGTCTCCTTTAAGTTTTTATTATGAAACATACTTGAAAAAAGTGCTTCTGGATAAGTAATGTTTTTTAAAAAAAAACTTGGTGGCACACTTTGGTAATATTAACTTGAACAGAGATCAAAGATCAACAGTGACTATTTTTTTAAAATTCAATTGATAACAAATTTTGAATTCCAACATTTTTTTTTTTTTTGCACTGGAGATGAAACTGGTGGCTTCCCCACTGAGCTACATCTCTAGCCATTTTTATTTTGAGAGAGGGTCTTTTAAATTTTTCACATGGAACCTGAACTCACAATCCTCCTACCTCAGCCTCCTAGAGTTCTGGTCTAACAGGCGTGTGCCACTATATCCACCCTTAATTCAAACAAGTGCTAAAGGGCCACTATTGTGGGTAAAAAATTGTAGCAAGCCTTGGGAACCCAAAGATTCAGACTGCTGGTCCTGAAGAATTCAAGAAATACGGGCATTTAAAAAATTGCTAATCAAACGTTAGTAAGAAAGCATTCTGACAAAATGGATGAATAAAAAGCTTATCCACCCACTAAATAAATCTTACAAGATGCTTTAAAATCATTATTTCACTTGAGCTTCACAACTATTATGTGCTTCCCTCAGTGACATCCCCAGTTCCCCACCCCTCAACCCAGAGCCTTTGTACTGAGCTATATCCCCAGTCCTTTATTTTGAAACAAGGTCTTGCTAAATTGTTCAGAGTGGGCTCAAACCTGTGACCCTTCCTCCTGCTTCAGCCTCCCAGAATACAGGGATTACACATGTGCATTGCACTGCCATGCCTGTATCCTTGTTCTATTTTATTTTGAGACAGGGTCTGTCTAAATTGCTCAGGCTAGCCTCACTTGGTTCCTTCTGTCTCAGCCTCCCAAGTACCTGGAATTATAGGCTTTCCTTACCACACCTGGCACAACTAGTTGTTTTTAAACAGTTGGGCAAGCTGAAATCCAGAAAAGTCAAGAAATGTAAGTATATTTATATATTACAAACCACCAACCGAATTATGTACGCTATGTAAACTCTCTAAAAACATGTTTGTGTACACATATACATACTTATATGTATGTATATATACATACACTATATATATATATATACACACATACACCCACAGAAACAACATTTGCAAATACACAAAGGAGGGTGTTCAAAGCAGTTACTCTAGAATAAATAGCATTGTGGGTTTTACTCATTTTTTTGCTACATATTTTCAGATTTTTCTTTAATGAATTATACTGCTTTAGGCACAGTGAATGACTGTGAAGTCAGTGAATGACTGCCACACTGTGGCTAAGGAAGACTGAGTTACATTCTTTCCACTATAGTGCACTACCTTCATTAAACCAGTAAGAACATTTATGATGTCCAACCAGTAGTTTCTTAGCAGACAAAGCAATAATCTTCCCTTTTGATTTTTATCTTTTTGTGCTAATCAATTTTCCTCTTTTCTTTTTGAAATGAGGTCTGGCTAAATTGCCCAAGCTGGTCTCAAACTTACAATCTTCTTGCCTCAGCCTCCTGAGTAAGATTATAGGTGTGTGCCACCATACTTGAGTGACGACCTGCTTCTTCTAGCCTTCATGAGTAGTTAATTCATACAAATCCAGTATTTCATTATGTCTTAATGGAAAAATATTCAGCTTGACACCCTGTGGCATGCTCTATTGGGGTAAAATTTTTGTAACTAATTACATAATTAATACAGGGCATTCTTTACCACAAGGCAGTTCTTTGGAAGAGAGTGTGGTTAATAATAACCAGTCACGAAGTGATGCTGAGATTAATTTAGGGAGTGGTTAGCCCAGAGCCAGCACCCAGCCAACTTACAGCCATCACACCCAGGGCCTGCGGTGCACCTGGCAAGTGTCCACACTGAGCTGTACCCCACCCATGGTCCCTCAGCCCACACTTAAGATAGTATCTATTCTAGGAGCATGTACTTCAGGAGGTCATTAGGGCAAAGTCTCCCAAAATGAGGTTGGAGGCGCTGCCAGAAGTAGTGAAATAATACCAGCACACAGGGAAATCAAGGCTGTAATGTTCTGCCAGCAGCAACAATCATTAGCCAGTTCCAATTCCGTTTCCTCTTTCCATCACTTACTGTCCTGAGAAACCAACCGTGCCTCTCACAAATGTACTTCAGAGAAAATGCTTAATTAGAGTCAAAGACCTACTGACAACTGACTTAGTACTGACAATTACACATTGACTTTTAACCCCTTACAAGATTTGTTAACAGTATTTATGGAAAATGTGTATACAAATATCAGGAAGTAGTAGAGCTGTGCTAGACACACAGACTTGCCTCGTTGTTCTTGGTTCCCAAGGACTACTGACTAGAAGTAACAACCAAGAGATCCCCAAGAGACTTGAAGCAAACAAGACAACTCAAATGTTAATTTACAGTAACATTAGCCCTGGCAGGAAGTTGCCCCAGTCCAGCCCTCCTTGAGGTCAGCTAAGGAGGCAAAGGGAAACCATAAAACGAAGTCTCCAAAGTTTTCCATGGCTGAGATCACTTGGAAAGCACAAAACAAAAACTGAAAAAAACGAGGAATATCAAAGGAAGGAGCTCTCCAGTGGCTTCACACGGTGAGTGCATCTATTTCTTCAAATACTGCTCTTATCTGTGGAACTAGAAAAAATCTGAAGCTAGGACGTACTGCAATGGGTCCCAGCAAATCCTACCTTCTCCAACACTTCCCACAAGCCCTCCACCTTCTTTATAACTATTCTTTACTAATAGTCCATTCTCTCTAAACTTTTTTTGCATGACAATTTAATATACAGCCACTTTGCCACAAAGTAGACGTTTGTAAATGCTGCATATTTCATACTGGCAAATAATGAGCCGAGTAATTACTGAGTGTATCAAATGTGACTGAAACCGAAGAGTCCAAAATTAAATGGGGGGGGGCACTTCACAGATGGAAGGTAAACACTCAGTTACAGTGACATGGGAAATGTCTCTAAAAACGCAAGTGAACTCCTGGATGAGGAGCGGTTATGCTAACAGTACAATCTAACCCGTGGTGTATTACAGATTCATCACTACACAGTGAAGAGGTCTCATAGGGTCAGGACATCGCATTCATTCAGCAGCTTAACTGATCGGAAAAGGAGGAAAAATAAATTGGATCAAAGGCAGCATGAGGGTGTGAAATCACGGTTAGTGCTCAGATTCTGAGTTTACTTGTAGAAGTCAGAGATGAAATTTGGACTTCCCGGTTTCTCTCCTGACAGGTCCAGCCCCCTCCACGTGCGCCCCCTGCGGGGTGCTCGGGCCCAATCCACCCGGAAAGCATGGGGTGCCTTCTGCACAGCTCTTTCCTACCCTCTCTGTCCAGAGCACCTACTCTTCTGAGGTCTGTGAACTGGTTCTAAATCCAAAGGAACTGCAGCAAGGGCCTCCAAGATAGCGTTGGTCACCGCCCCGGGGGACGCCCTGACCCTCCCGGGTACTTGGGTCCTCACCGCTTTCCTGCACCCCATCCCTCGGGCCCCGAAAGTTCCCGCCTCTGCGGACCCCGCTCTAAGCTTGCTTACGGGGGCCCTCCTAGCAGGGACCCCCGCCGCCCCGGTGCGCCCCGCCACGGGCCGGCTGCGCACAAGCTCCCGGCTCCCATTCATTCCGCCCGCCGCTGTCATTGCGCGGTGACCTCTGCGTCCCCCGGGCGCGAGCCGGCCGGCCTCACCTGCGCGCGAGCGTCGGCAGCGGCGCGCGGCCCGGGCAGCCCCGCACTGCCGGGAAAGCCGGGCCTAGGACTCCGCGCCGCCGGCCTCCAGTAGCAGCCGCACCGCCACCGCCACCGCCACCGCCACCGCCACCAGCGCGTGGCCATGGCGCGAGTCCGAAAGTGGCGGCGGGCGGCGGCTCCGCCTCCGGCCCGGGCCCTCCCCCCAGAACCCTCCTCCCGGATGTCTGGATCCGGAAGTCTGCACCCGGAAGCGGAAGTCTCGCGAGCCGCGCCTTGGTCCGCCGCCGCCGCCGTCTTTTGCGGCGCTGCGTTCGCTCGCCGGTTGTGGACCTGCGGGCTCCGTGCGTGCGCGAGAGGCGGAGGCAAAGGAACCAAGGAGGCCGCCACGCGTGATCTGCAGCCACCCAGGCCTTGAACGCTGGCCCGGGGAGAGCCGCTGGCTCCCACGGTCACTGCAAAGGCACGAGCGCAGGGCCTGCGCTGGACTTGCAGTCACGAGAGTTGTGTTGTGCATGTGAGGTTAGAAAAATGAATCAAAGGATCAGATTGTAGTTTTGCTGCCTAACCGGAATCTGAGGTCCGCGTCTGCTTCTCCTGGGTGTGACTGTCGCTCGCTGCCTATTACAATCCGTTGTGGAAGGAAGTACCAGCCGTCAGCATCACTCCAGTAACGAGTCTGACCGCGAGCTGGGCTTTGGGACACAGAAGCTAGGTTGGGACCCTTTGTTCTAAAAACCTTATAGGTAGAGTTTGATAGCCCTGCTCACATCTGTATGTGTGAGTGCCACGCTGGATGTACTGAACTACATGATATTTAAAAATACGCAGTGCTGTTGAATTTACTTGTACCTGGTCCAGGAGATCCTGAGAATGTGCAGGCCTCATACCAGCAAGGGTTAGGGAGATCTTTCCTTAGCTCCATTGTCTCCTGCTGCTAAAATAGCACGTTCATAGCAAATCCGCGATCTAATTAAGCATTCAGCCTGTTAACAGCACAGCAATGAAAGAGTATTTCAGGATATCGAAATAAACTACTGTGGCCCCAAAAGTTCACTTTAGCCGGTTGTGATGCATGCCCATAATCCCAGCACTAGAGGCTGAGACAGGAGGATCGCTGAGAATGGAGCCCTAGAATGTGAGTTGAAGTACATTACACCAAGCTTAAACTGCTTGGTGAAACTGTTCCAACCCCTTCTCAAAGTTCACTCTAAGAAGTGAACTTGAAGAAGTGAAATTGACCAACAAATAAGTAACTGCTGTGCTCTGATACATATTTTTTTTCTCTGTCTGAACCACACTGAGCACATTATTTTCATATTTATCTTAAAACTGTCTTTTTTTATTGAATGAAAGGACTGGAGAAAAGCCTGTTAGATCTTTTTTCCTAATCTTGAAGATTAAAAACATGCAAAGTGCTTTACAGTAAAAATTGTTAATGTACAAATGTTTATCTTGATTTTGATTAAGCATACATGTTAAGACACATGGAACCGGTAGAATTTGCCAAAGTAGAGTAGCACGGAACACTCATTGTGCCAATTATGTTATCATTTTCACCCTTTATCCGATAAGAAAACAGGTAATAGAGGAATTAACCTACAGTTGGCCAAGGTAGCTCTTTGCACAACCCTGCCAAGTCGTCTACCTTGAGTGATTTCTTGATCAGATTACAAGTGCCCTTGGCTATAAGGTGCTGTACTGTAGTACAGCAAGTTTCAGTAGGGAAAAGAGGTGAAATTTATAAAGGTCTCCCACATTATTGTATGGTTAAACCTTTGAGGAACAACTTAATCAGGACATTCAGAATTCAAATGTGCTTTTGACCAATCCAACTTTGAGTCTAGGAAGTCAAAACAAGCTGTGTAGGTAACTGCTAAAGACAAACTTCTTTTGTATACAGCCCAGAAATGATTTTGATGTTTTTTACTGCATTTATACAAATGAGCAATCAGTACTAATGGGTGAAGCAGGACTGAGTGTGTCATTGAAAGTATTTTCAATGTTGGAGAATGGCATTTCAATATATTTTCTTGTCATATAGATGATACTGTTTAGAGAAGTTACAGCCAGGCATGGTGGTGCATGCCTGTAATCTCAGCACTTGGGAGGCTGAGGCAGGAGGATCACGGCAAGTTTCTGGCCAGTTTGGGCTGCATAGTGAGATCAAGGCCAGCTTGGATTACATAGTGAGACCCTGTCTCAAAAAATAAAAAAGACAAATTACAAACTTACTACATATATTGCCATGTCTTGGTTCATAGTACTGCATGAAACATATCTGGATGTTATTAGATAAAAGATTAGTGAGTTACCAGTGTAGCTTCTGATAAGAACACTTACTGAGAAAAGGTTCAGACAGACTGAAAATGTAGCAGATGCTTTTCTCCTGTACTGGGGAATCAGTACAGGGGAATCACTGGGGAATCAAACCTAGGGACTTAAGCATACTTGGCAAAGTCCTCTATGACTACACTGCACTCCCATCTCTTCTCTGGGCTCTTATCTGAAGAATCACAGGGGAGTGAGAATATCACTGAATCATGTAGTCCATGGTCAGCGAGCACATGTTGCTGAAATGCATGTCATTCAGAATGTATCATAACTGCAAATAGATCATTTAATACTGCCCATTTTCTACTAAATGTTACAGCATCATAAAGGAAAGTGTGTCGATTATATGATTTAATCAATACAACACGAAGTCTCCTGTAGAAGAGAAGAAAATACACCGTGGGATCTTCCATGCTTTATTACTTTTCTGTGGTGGATGCCAAGATCATATGGTTTTTGATTGTCTACCACTTGTTTCCCCATTACACTGCCTTGGTCACCATGTGCTTGGAAGTATAAAGCTTAAGTCTGGCTCATATTTTCCTGTTATTTTATTGTTGCTGTAATCAATAAATTGCAGTTATTTCCTGTAGTTGAGCTAATTGTCCTTATGCTACCTTTCTCTACTGATTTGAAGTACCATTTTCACATAAGGGAACTTCAATAACTGGGGTGTACTTGTGCTTTTTATTCACTTCCTTTCATCTTTGTTTCTGTTTGGGGGATAACAATACTTGTAGTTTTTATATATTTATAATTTGTAATGTGATAAGCAAACATTCTCTTTACTCCTGTGCAGAAAAATAAAATCTAGCTGGCTGTGGTGGCACACATCTGTAATCCCAGCAGTCAGGAGGCTGAGGCAGGAGGATCAATGTGAATTTGAGGCCAATCTGAACTGCATAGTGAAATTCTGTCTCAAGAAGACCAAAAGGAAAAAAAAAAAAAAATCCAACCCCCAAAACAAAAAAATACACATTTTTCAGATTTTCAATTTAAATGTTTCTTAAAAAAAAAACCAGCAATGTTTTGATTAGATATCTACTATGTTTATTAAATGATTTGGTGAGATGTATTGCCAATATAATTTCTACCCAGAAACATATATCTGTTTACTACAGACATGTGTTTTTTAGAAACAGTGTATTTGATTAAGTGCCTAATATGTTTTTGGGCTCTATTGGCTAAAATTCTAATATTGTAATGCAGCTTACCTTCATTTACCTGTAAATATGTTGCATATTCTATTTGTTTCCCGTAAGCAAAAATCTTTGTAGGTAGCTTTATTGTTTTAAATTATTTCCATCTCCTGTTGTTTTAGGCAGATCCATAGGTTGAGTATTCCTTTGTGAAATTCTTTGGGCTAGAAACACTTGAGATTTTGAAATTTTTATAGTTTATAATATCTGTGTGTGTACAGTGAGATATTTGTGCATGGGATCCAAATCTAAATTGAAATTCATTCATGTTTCATAGACTCATATACATTGTTGCTTGAAGGCAATTGTATACAGTATTTTCAGTGTACCTGCATTTTGACTGTGACTTGTCGTCATGTGGAGCCAGATACAAAATTTTGTACCTATGGCGTTATATGGGGGCTCAGAAAGTTTAGGATTTAGGAGCATTTTAGATTGTGGATTTTCAGGTTAGAGATGCTCAGCGTGCCTGTCCTGTGTGATAACATTGGAAACAATAGTCTTCTCAACAACTAAGTTGTGTGTGTGTGTGTGTGTGTGTGTGTGTGTGTGTGTGTGTGTGTCTTTGAAGAATGGTAGTTCTAAGAAATATTAAAAAGGATTTTGTTTTGTTTACATCAACTGTATTTTCATTTGATCCTGTTAAAGAAAATTACATTCATAAAGTGGGAAATCATGTGTTTTTAATCACCTCTTTTACTCCTTTCAAATCAAGGCATCTTGTAGCAGTTTCAAAGGTTAGACTTTATTTTTTCATACCAGGAATTCTTAATTAAAATACTTGTCTTAAAAGGCATAATTTTTTCAGATTTAATATTGCTAATGTATTGATAAGTGACTATCTTTAAAGCTTAGATGGTTGGTACATGTCTTCTTACAAATTAGTTTTTTGTTCGTATTCCTATGTTTATCTTAGAGTTGTGAGGAATACTGTATTTGCATTTATGAATAAAGGGGAAACATTAAATTCTTTTCCTAGATAACTGTTAGAATTCTAAATTGTTCTGTCAGTCATGGTATAAATGAATTTGAAGTTAAAATAGTAAATTTGCTTTTTTTTTTTTAAGTTCTTTAAAAGGTGCCAGGGCCAGGGATTTAGCTCAGTAGCATAAGTACCTGCTTGGAAAGTGTGAGGTCGTGAGTTTAATCCTTGGTACCAAAAAAACCAAAAACCAAACAAACCAAAAAACAAAACAAAACAAAAGTGCCAGGAAAAATATTGTTTTACTGTGCATCAAAGGAAATCTATGACACCTTTAAAACTAGCTAAAAGAAATGATTTTCTTCAAATAGCATAAATAATCAGGTAGTATGCTACATCTCTTTTTTTTGGGGGGGGTAGGGTACAGGAATTGAATTCATGACCTTGTATTTGCTAGGCAGGCACTGTGCCACTGAGCTATATCCAGCCCTATGCTACATCTCTTTTTAAAAAAATTTTATTTAAAGAAAGACTAAGCAAAACAGAAAATAGAAACAATACATACGTTCAGAGAAAAAAATAAACAGTAAGAAATCACTAGTTGATGTTTACATATTGTCATTTTACAAATAGTTGTTCAAGGAACAAGCGTGGAATATGTAAAGTGGGAATTCAAACAGTGAGACTGCAAACAGTTCTGTTCAACTGTCCAACAAAACTTAGTAACAAGGTTGTCAATCCTATA